CACCGCTCGAAAACTTTTGAATATTGCTAGAAAATGTATTCAATATTCAAATATTTATTAAAGGCTTCTCCTAACCCTAAAATCTTGGCTGTACAACTGAGTGTACATGACACTCGTATAATGTTATCGAACTTCAATAACGTTACTTTCCGCGCTCTCTTATATAGGTATAAGTATAATACATCGTCATGTCATCTGCACACTGTTGCAATGTTTAAGTACGAACATTGGAGCCCAAACAATACTTTGAGTGTAGCAGTTGCTACACATTATATTTTGGGTGTGTGGGTGTTCTCGGTAATTAGGGTTTGAGATAGTCGGGTAAAATGGATGTAAACATTCGAGGTAGTAGGTTGTAAGAGTTGAAAAATATATATTTATATAGGTAAAAGTTTTTGAAGTGGGTGGTGGTTTTGAATTTCAGATTCTGGTATACAATAAAAATAAAATTTGAGCGCCATTGTAGTGTACGAAACGTACTTATTAATTTAATGAACGTGGGTAAACAGTGTTTTTATATTAAGTACATTTATATCGTGGTTTTTTCTATTTAAATTAAGTAATTTTAATTTATAATTAATTAACTAAGTACAGTACCGTAACTAGAGGTCTAGAGATTGGCGAATGGGCGGTTGCGAATGGTTCAGTTTGTATTAGGTAATTTTACTTTTTATTCAGCATCAGAATTCCTAATTGTTCTCATAAACTATATTTACATAAAAAGTATATGATGTTTAAATTACGTTATAGATGGTGGCTTGATGATGTTTATTGATTAGTGTTTACTAGAGAACTTAGTAAATAATGAGCACTTTAAATGATATAATTCTAAATATTCTTTATAATTTATTATAAAATATTTTATACAAATTAAATTTCAAACATAACAATAGAGGAAGAAGTTTGGACAAAAAAAAGATAACAATGAAAGTTACGATGACACTAGTCATTAAGAAATTATACTTTTCCTACTTCAAATAATTTTATAGACAAACAATACCACCGGGTGGAAGTCCCGTATCTTTTATTTGGTCAGTCAATAAAGTATAATTTCCCGGAAAAAATTCCCACAGTCTTGAAATAATTTGGCACGAAAATTAGTTTTAGGATTTCTTATTAACATAATGAAACTACTGACCGCTCAAGCATACGCTCGCTGTGTTGAGCTCTTTTTCGTAACTCCGATATCAGCTGATCGAGTGTCGCTTCTATATTGTTCGTTGATATTACAGTCGTACTTTATGATGAACCCATAGCGTGACTCTACGGGTGAACTAAACACAAGGTCTATTTTGTATGTTGTAAAAAACTCGTAATATTAATTCCAGTGCAATCATTAATCAGTTTAACGCAGACTCAACACAAAGAGGAAGAGTGTTTCAATTGACATAAATATTTAATTTTAATTAAAATTTTAAATTGACTAATTATAGAATTTTGAATTCTTTTAATTTTTAATAAACTATTGTTTATATTAATTATTATAATCATTAATAATATGTTTTAATCGTCATATTTCAAAGTCTTTGGGTATAATAAAATGAAATAAACTTTGCCCTCTCTCTCCCTCCCCCCCCTCCCCCCATACAAATACCCAAGTTACACCCATGCGTAAAATCAATGGGAAAACTATAATAATATAGCAACCGGCTACGCTCAAAATAGTCAGAACACGAAATACCGTCAATATGACGCGCGTGTTCGCATATTGCGTTCTACCGTGTTTAATAGGAGAAATATTATTTTACCATTTTTTTTTTCTCTGCGGCGGCGTCAAACGCGCGAAATGAATCCGATTTTCGGGTTGAACACGACGCCACAGTGGCGCCAAAACAAGCGGCCACTGCCGGTTTCCGCCAAAAATGGGATGTCGCCGTTTTCCACCAAAATTAATCTTGTGCCTTTTCTATCGACGCGCGTTTCCACCAAATTATATTTTACATACAGCTGACGCTGCTTATAACACTCACGGACATGAGGTTCAGTCGCTTATTAGAGATTCAAAATCACTTGGAACGGTCCGGACGTATCCGAATATATTCTATCCTATCTCCACCTCGGCTAAAAGGACCGTTCGGTCATTTATAAGACTCACCTTTGTGCTGGTCCCAAAGTGAGTCTTATAAGCGGCAGCTTCATGGATAGTTACGGGAGACCAATATAATTAACGTGTATACAATTATACGTGTATTATGAATTATATTGCAAGATACAAGTTTAAATTATTTCGGTGTTACCAAACATAATCATTCAGAGTATACTGCGGCACACCCCTTATACCTATAGTCTATAGATTAGAACATAACGTACGCTTTTTTGTCACACACGCGTTATTTAATTTTAAAAACGAGTTTCTTTCAGCTAGTAACTTTTATATCGTTCAACCAAGATAAGTCAATGATTATCTCACAAACGCATCTACATAATAATATTCCGTTCTGTTTAACATTAATATCGACGCGTTCAGTGCGTGTTTTAGTATTATATTGTTTACCTTTACTTACATCCGACACTATTTTTCGTATATTGTGACGCGAGTCAGCGAATCAACTGTCGACGTGCGAACAATTCTTTAAATTTGGCACAGTTTATATTTACACATTTAAACATTATAATATGCAATGAACAATTTGGCGGAAACGTGTATTGATGAAAAAGGTAATTATTTTGGTGGTAAAGTATATTGGTGGAAAACAGTAAGGAACACGTTTGATGGAAACGGGTCCCCAAAAATGTACATTTTCCTTTTCCGCCAAATAAAATAAATTAGTCACTTATTTGAATATTAATGAACGATTGTATCTATTAAAACAAATAAATTAATTAAAAAAACTAGAAAGTTTGATAAAAATTGTGTGTAACCAATTTTGTTTATGAGTAAAAAAAGACCGTAAACCGAATAAAAGGTAATACTCAACAAAAATTGCTCTTATCACAATTTCTTACACAAAAAATATAAAACATATGATCACCTTATTTTTCATTATCGTATAAGTTCAAATTTGTTTGTGTTATTTTTTCGTCATAAGATATCTCTAGCTTTGTAAAACAAATATTATATAACTATAGTAAATTATAAGAATGTACCTACTGGTACCGCTGATAAATTGAAAACGGATAACTCTCAAACCAGCAGTCAAGGGTAGCGGTCGCCATCGTCTTTCTTTTAATGGGTGGAAGGTGGTAGATCCATGATGGGTATCTGAGTCATATCTTTTTATCGAATTGGTACATATGGAATATTAAATAATTGGTGCTGTATAGGGAGTTTGCTTCGTAAACGAGGGCGGTGGTCTGTAATATAATTTTTTACCTGACCACCTTCTTATAACATGTATGGTATGGTGCCACTGAGTGTGTGTTTACGCCTGCTGGGTGACAAGAAAATAAATAAGGAGGAATCGTACTTGGAACACGTGTGCCACTGTTGTGGAGGGAGTGGAAAAGGTAGGATACATTAGGTTATTTAATTTATATCTGTAAGCATCGATAAACTATTGTTAACGAAAAAAGATTGTGAGCGGGGTTCGGTTATATATGTTTTGTAAGGTCGTAATATTTACGATTTTCATCAAAGTTTGATATTAAAATTCTAATAAAAAAAAATTCTACAAAACACTCAATTTTTTTTTTGAGCACAAAGTACGACTTACAATAATGAACGTACGACTGTATATAAATTTTCAAGGATTTCTGTTTGGTCTTACAATTTTATCCACAGAGTACCTATAGAATAAAAACACGTAAAATTAAAATAACTATAAATAACTCAAAAATTACTAAAATTGTTTTTGAATGTAACCACGTCTAGAAAAAGCAAATGAAAGCTTTTTGTCCAAATTTTAAGACTGCAAATATTTTTAACTAAATTGAAATATAAAAACAAAATCGAAAATAGTAAATTTTGTGAATTTTACCATTTTTCTCCAATTATTCTAAAAACCGATTAGAAAATCAAAAAAAACTAACCTTAAAGTACCACTTATATAAAATGTCAGAAAATGCAATATACCTGAAAATCGGAGGAGTATTTCTGGTAGAAAATTTGTTTACAGATAAACAAAAAAAAAAAAAAGATTGTAAAATGTAAAATAAAAAACAAATTTGTATTTTAAATGTATAAATATTCTAAAACTGATAGCAATACGGAAAACCGGTTGGAATTCAAACTATTTATTTTAAGTACAACAATATTATCGATGTATAAACATCTTTTATGAAGATAAAAATAATAGATAATAGTATGGAAAATATGTGAAAATCAAACGTGTTTTAAACGTGGTTTTGTTGAAAATTAATTTTGATATCACGCCAGCCACAATAGCTGTGATATCAAAATTGTAGATAATTTTAGATTCATTTTAGCGAAAAAACAACAAATATATCAGCAATATTGTAATAGATTTTCCGCTTCACTCAGAACCTAAAATCGTTTTTTTCGTGTAAACTATAATAATGCATTAAAATATTTTTCGTCAAAACGTTAAAAAATGATAAACAAAATTAAACGACAATTAAATCGTTAAATGTCGGAAAGTCGTTGAGATTTGTCGATGCTGAACGAAAACGATTGTAATATAATATTATGTAACACAATATTTTAAACGATGTTTGTAACTTATTAGGTCTTAATTGTCAGACAAAAGTTTTAAATTATGCACCGTTTTAGAGTTTCTTATATCTTGAAAAGGAAATTTCGAAAAAAGTTAATACTTTTCTAGATAATGAGCGCCTTACGTTGGATCGATCACTTTGTATCACTCTGTAGAGCATTTTGTTATTAGGACAGATAATTATTGCTGATGTATGAACATTTCGATAGTAAAAAAAATATAAATTTATTTCGAATAAATTATAGATATCTGTAAAACATTATTAGAGGGTCGGTTAGGTTAGGTTAGGTTAGGTTAAGTTAGTCGGTCGGTAAGTATGATTTAATTATAATTTGTTATATTACACAGTGCAATAGAAAATGTAAGAACAGTAACACAATATATTATCAATTATACGAGGCGTGGCTATTAAATAACGAGACTACTCGCTTAGAGGGCACCCTAGATGGGTAGTGAAAAAAAGGAGTAATGCGAGTAATAGAATAATTTTTATAATAAAACACTTTTTCGTAGCCAGTCTCGTTATTTAATAGCCACATCCCGTATATGTGTGGTAAAACTGACGACCGAATTTAATCGATTCATTTCTATAGAACGATTTTGACGCAGTTAAAACGATTTGCCGGTCGTGAATCGGTTTATCAGGTCGATGCCCGAAATGGGTTGGTCACCGGGCACCATGTGACCGGCGTTCCTGACCAACACCACGGTGAGTGGGCCGGACGTGGTTGCGTACCCGGCTACCACGGTGCTGTTGGTCCCTGGTTCTGTTAGCCGCCAAATGGTACGCGTAGCGTTCTTGAACTTATCGGCGCCCGACCACTTGAGCGATTTGGCCATGCACATCGTGCCCCGGTACGGCACGATGATATCCAGTTGCCCGGAGTAAAGCAGCACTCGGTACTTGCCGGTGTTGAGCAGGGCAGCCAGCCACGAACTCATCGACTGCATCACGTCGTTCAACAGATGGCGTTCGACTTCGATGCCGTTGTTCAGCGACCGATTGCCTACGTGCAGGGAAGACCGTATGGTCGGACCTTGAACGTACGTTGACCAGTTGCCGTGCACCGACGGGTCCCGATCAAAGAGCATGTTGAAATAGTAACCAAAGCCGGTCAGGTTCTTGAACAGTGACGGATACGGGTAAACGTCGGCGTTCAATAGCATATCGAACGTATTAAACGCGGCCGTATAGTCACCGCTGAGAATTTCGGCTCGGGCCTTGTTCTCCATTAACTCGAACTGGTGCTTACCATCGTCTACAACGGTGACAAACGATTATTAATATTATTAAAATATAACGTGCGAAAAAGGGGGCTACGGAAAAAAAGCAAGTGGTAAAAAATATTTCTTTTAAATATTATAATATAAAAAATAACATTATTGGTTAGTACTACATAATATTATATAGTACCGTATAAAAGGTACCTATACTATATTTCAATACCATTGACTATATTATGTATTCAATGATAATGTTTTAAATGTATTCACAAAAATAATATCGACGCAAGTTATCGAAATCTGCAGTCTATAATCGAAATTAACAAAATTGACCACTATTGTAGTGTAAGTACAAAATATATAGAAATCAACTTAAAATAAACATATGGCTTTAGCATAGTTTAGTGGAAAAATAAATTATCTAAATATGTTTGTCTCAAAATAAGAACAGTTGGAAAAAAGGAATTTGGATTATGATTTAATTATAATGAGTATGATTTATAATTATTAATTATTTGTTTTTAAAAATCAATAGGTAAATTATATTATTATTGGTAAATTATAAAATAAATCATATGAAATGAGAATACATTCATCATGCATTGATACGCAATAATAGCATATTTGTATTAAATTCAAAAAAATTCTAAATTTAAAAAGAAAATAAATGACATATACACATGGATATTATAAATAGAGTGTAAAAAAATATGTAGGTACCTATAAAAAATTGTATTTATTTAAAACGTATACGATATGGTACAGCGTTTAAGAAATTTACATTCGATTTCAACATTAGACTGCAGATTTCGATAACCTAATGAGACAATTATTTTTGTGAAAACGTTTAAAATATTATCATTGAATATATTATAATAATATTACTTTTTATATTATTTTATGTAAAATAAATATATTGTTTTTTTTATCACTTGCTTTTTTTTCATTACCTTTTTCTACTTTGCTTATTTCTAAAATGTCGAAACAATTTTTTTTTTTTTTTTTAAAGTCTATATTACAAAATAATTAGTGTTTAACGATAAAAGAATCACGTTGTATAATAATTGATGTCTAGCATACTTTTCGAGATATGTTTGAAACTGGTATTATTTATATTGTATTCGAATGTTAAAATTTTTTTATCAGAAGGTCAATACCGTAGCATTAAACATTTATTTTTATTTTACAACGTTAAAACGTTATCTATATAATATATAGAATAACTTGTCCTGAGTGATTCATTATCGTACAGCCCAAACTACTGGTCGGATCGGGCTTACATTTGGCACACAGATAGCTATTATGACATAGGCATCCACTAAGAAAGGATTTTTTAAAATTCAACCCCTAAAGGGGTAAAATAGGAAGTTTTAGGTACATATGGTACGAATATTTAATCGCTTATTTATTAATTTTTGTTTAATCAATCACCCAACCTTGGTGATACGGATGATAATCTGGTTGTCATGGATAAGAAAACTATTATAATTATAATTATTACTATTATTTACACACTTAAAATTTCACAATAGATCACTTATTTGTTTTCATTCAATCCGACACGGTCGAAACAAAAATGAATGTGGGTAAAAAATAATAATAAAAACTATTTACCGCACGGTCGCGGGACAGCTAGTAGTTTATATTTTTCCAGTACGTAAACTTATTTCGATTCATCTGACAATAACAATATAAAATAAAATAATAAAGTAAAAACAAAATTATTAAATGGTTAATACTCGTAAATAAATAAATAAATAAATGAATGCGTGGCCTGGATTATGTGTATTGTACGTGTGTATAAGTATAGAGAAATAGAACATTAATTTAAGCAGGGTGATTTTTTAAAATTTAGATTACGAATAAATGAAATCAATGAAATTTCTTTTAGGTTCTTTCTTATAATAATGTTTATAACTAATTAGTTTTAAGTAAAATTTAAAATTTTCAACAATTAAACGCAAATTACCATTATAAAAACAATGTAATGGGATTTTTGGGCTTTCATTTTCTTTAATAACAAAGATATTCTCGGGGGAATACTGTTTAAAGCTACATGTTTTTAGTGGCGTATAATCTGCTTATTTGTTTATTTTTAATATAAAGTAGTTCGAAAAATTCTTGTTCGCACAATTAATTTGTTGAAAACGTCACTAAACATCTTAATGCGGTTTCCCAATGCTTAAGACACGAAATTGCTTTTTCATACCAAACTATTTGATATGCATCGTATCCTTACAGTTTTGATCGTTTTTTAACTCTATCAAATCTTCCCGGTTAATATCAGGTACCTCATCGATATTAGCAATTAAAGGGTTTTGAATTATGCTTCGGATACCTATCGTTTCGAAACTATTAAATTCTGGGAAATACCGATAAATTTCATATTTAAGTTTAAAGTTTAAAAGTTTACTATAAACGATTGTAGGTATTTGTGTCACGACCCAAAGAAAAAATGAAATATTTTTAAATTTTCTCGATATTGCTCGTTGATTACTACACAATGTTTCGCGGACCATAGGTTGGGAACCTCTGGTTTCAGGTTTAGACCAGAGAAGTAGGTAAAGGTAAGAAATTGCATATCTATTTTTGAATAATAAATTGTAAAATAATACATTTCGTAAATTTTGTCTATGTTTTTTCCACTTATTATGAATACCCTAGAGAAAATCAAGCAATGACCTTCTTAAATACCATCCCAGTTCAATTTCCTTTCAGAAAAAGTGCTACAGTTGAAAATTGGAGCAATATTTTTGTTAGAAAAGTTGTTCACAGAAAAAAATATAAAAAGTTTAATTAATAATAAAAAAGTTTGACTACGCCTATGGTCACTGATATATATATATACAGTGTGATCACGATTTAAGGTAACACTAAATATCTCTGGTAAATGACCTTGTATTGAAATGGGGTTTTCGGGAGGTGATAGGGAGTACCCCTAAATACATATTTTCAGATAAATTTCAAATTTGTAACACTTTTGGTATGCGCATGCGCAACACAACTTACAATTTTTTTAAATGGAAACACTATTTTTTTCTACATATTCGGATAGATTATTATTTTTTTAAATTTTTTTTATTCAGAGTTTTTTTCTATTTATAAAACTGACCATGTTAGAGTAAGTCTAAATTTTGATTTCTGTATAATTCGTGTTTAATGAAATTTTCATTTATAACCACTGGAAATACTAAAATAATTGTTCAATTTACTTTATCTGTTTACAAATAATAATTTAAAAATACTGTTGGTCACTAGAATGAATATCTCGAATATGTAATAATTTTTGTTCAGTAAACTGTAATAATACGATTACAATTTTAACTATTTTTATAGTGGAATTTTATTTTATTTTACAATAGCTCTAATAACGATAAGATAATCAGATAATAAGGCANAAGTGCTCCTATAAATTATAATTTTTTAAATATGAATAACGCTGAAAAAGTTGAATTGGTTTTAATTTATGGCGAATGTCAACATAATGTACGCCCAGCTGCTATGACGTATGTTGAACGATATCCAGAAAGGCACCATCCACCTTATAGTTATGTTTTACGACTTTTAAAAGGGTTAAGAGAGGAAGGAAGATTTCCTGGCAGACAAATAATTCAATAAAGGCGTAGAGAAAATATGTTTGATGACGATACATAATTACAGGTACTAGCATACATAAGAGCTAATCCACGTTCGTCAATTAGGCATGTTGCTCGCGAAATTGGAGTTTCATATGGTTATGCTCAAAAAGTCTAAAAAACACAAAATGCACCCATATAAAATCGATTTTGTCAAACCTTTGAGTGCAGGAGATTTTATTCGTAGGTTGGAATTTATAGCTTGGTTCAATATTAAATTGTATAACCCTTTAATTGTCAATTATATTCTTTGGAGTAATGAATCAAAATTCACTAACAATGACATTTTGAATAAATGAATAAATTATTAATTCATACGATAAATTTATTTAATACATTTTACTTTTTNTACATTAAAAATAATGTTTAATTATTTCACAATTATTTTAGTATTTCCAGTGGTTATAAATGAAAATTTCATTAAACACGAATTATACAGAAATCCAAATTTTGATTTACTCTAACTTGGTCAGTTTTATAAACAGAAAAAACTTTGAATACAAAATTTTTTTTAAAAAAAATAATCTATCCGAATATGTAGAAAAAAAATAGTGTTTCCATTTAAAAAAATGTAAGTTGTATTGCGCATGCGTATACCAAAAGTTTAACAAATTTGAAATTTATCTGAAAATATGTCTTTAGGTACTCCCTATCACCTCCTGAAAACCCCATTTCAATACAAGGTCATCCACCAGAGATATTTTAGTGTTACCTTAAATCGTGATCACACTGTATATATATAGATACAAGTTTTTTCGCCCCCCCCCCCATTTAACATTGGCCGATTGGCACCCTAGGTTGCATCCTTTTCAGCCTATTGGTTAATCAAGCCTTGTCAATAATATATCGTAGTATATAATATTTACCGTCGAGAAATCCGTGTTCGTATAGGTATTCGCTGTACACCAACTGGTTGATGGGGTCGATCAGTCCATTTCCGATGGCCAGGCCCTTGAGGTTGATCTTGAGCGCCGCATTGGGGTTGTTCAAGTGGATCGCATAAGATACGGCCGTCACGTATTTACCGGCGTACGACTCGCCGGTCACGAAGAAATCATTTTTCTGGTATTCGGGGAACAGCGTGAAGAACTGTACCAGGGCTACGTACATGTTGAGGCCCACGTCTCCCTGTTCGGTACTGTATCCGGCGTCGTCTTCGGTAAAGCTGAAGCCCGTGCCCACCGGGTTGTCCACGTATAGCACCGAGTGCTGGTACACCCACGTGTGATTGCGTAACTTCAGCCCGTGTGACTTGCCCACCGAGAACGGGCCGTGCTCTTCGAACAGACCGTACAGGCTGGACGCGCCGGGGCCGCCTTGCAGCCACAGTAGTACGGGTGCGTTAGCATCGTCCTCCATGGCGGGGAAGAACCAGAAGAACAGATTGGAACGGGTCGTGTCGTTCACGGTCAGATAACCGGAGTAACTTTTGATATCCGCCTTTAAGGGTTTTACCGCGCACGCGGCCCGCGCCTCTTTTATTTTGTTCGCCCGTATCATGGGCGTCAGGTACAGGGCTCCGTCATCTTCGCTGAACTGTCCCGCTGCAGTCCAAACGTCGCAGCACAGGACGAACGCGATCAGCGACCCGGCGAAACGCATAGCAGAAATCACGCTATTTTGCTTCGTTTGCGCGGAATGCCGAATGTATAACAGTGTGCAGTTTATATTATAAAATATTAAACCAATGTAGTATTGACTGCTGCACCTGAAAAACGATTTCGGCTGAAAACGTTTACAATATTATTATATTATTGTCGGCACGCGGTACGACGATGATTATTAGGCACTCGGTTTCGACGCGATTCCAATGGTCGACTGTAAACCGATAAACGCCGCCTGTAAAGATCAGAAAATATTATGAGTTATGATACAGATGGTATATATATATATATATATATAAACTATGTACAATACAAGTACAATAATAATTATTATAACATCCGTATACTTGCATGCGAAAGAGAGAGAGAAAGAGAGATAAAGAAAGAGTAAGATAAGAGAGTGAGAAAGAATGACGGAGTGATAGTGAGTTATTGACAGTGAGAGAGGGGAAAGGTCATAACTATTAACTCTTGTACACTGACAGAGATACTAATATTTGTAGCACAATAACATGGCGTGTATTATCAACTACTGTGTAGGATGTGAGGCATGCGATCCGTTTTTAAATTCCGGTTTCGTTTGTGTACCCACAATAGGGGTGGCCAAACGGTCGATCGCGGATGGTTTAGATGTCGATCTCCCTTTGTTAGAATTTATTTTCATACAATTACTATAGGTTTTGGATAAATCACAATTGCTGATCGTTCTTATCATTATTATGTCATTATTTTGCTGTCAATTTATCAAGTAATACGATCCAATGGCAATTATACTGATATTTACAATATTACAATCGGTATTAAATAAAGTATGAAGAAAACAAATTTAACTACACATTTTAGTTTTATTATTTGTATTAGTATACTTATTATTATTAATACCTGTTTGGTAATTTACAGTTATTATACGTTGTCAGAAAGTCGATCATCAAAGGATAAAATTATATTTTTAGTAAACCTTTACAAAAAAAAAGTTTGGCCACCCCTGGTATACAGAGTGGTTTTTTTCCATATCAGACTTGTAAACTAGAAAATTATTAACATTATTTTCGTAGTTTTCTTTTTGTACGAGCATCTCGGGGGCAAAATTGAGCGACCAATCAGAAGCATTCACATTTGTTATCAATATTTGTGAAAACACATTTCTTATCAGCTTTTGTAAAAACATTATCATTTATAAATAACCATACAGGTCACAGGACGTGTTATTTTAATAGGTACCATAGGGTTTGTCTATTCGCAGTCGATTAAAGCACCATCGTTATGATGTTATTATCACCCGTATATATTAATATAAAATATAGATACCAAATGAAAAAAAAAAAATTTGTTTAAATTATTTTTATTGAAAATGGACGACATTAAATATTTTAATTGCCTTGAAAAAGTTTAAGATAAATCATATATTATAATCAATAAAACTTCCATTAGAGGGGAAACAATTTTTTTTAACAAATTTATTTTAATTAGGTTTCATCAACATTACTAGACTTAGGTACCAAAATCGCATAAAAAAAGAAATTAAAATAAAATTTACAATTTTAACAATTGAGTTTTAAATTATTTGTAAAATTAATTTTATTTATTATTTATATTTAACGTGACTTACGCGTTAATTTAGCGACAGTTAATTTTTTTACAATAATTTTACCATTTTATAATTAGTATTACCAAACTATCTATTATGCAGTTTATAATTTTGATATACTTCCAATTTTAATGTTTATACTTCACGAGAAAACAAAATACAATGTTGTTATAACTTAACACTTTCGGTTTAAAAATGTATAATCAGATCGCACAGAAAACTTAAGTATAATTATTAGTATTTCAAAAATATTCTTATCTAGGTTTTTACATTTATGTAACGATCATCATGGTTGTAAAAAAAGAAAAATTTTTTTATAGTCTATATTCTATATTATTATACATTTGGATTATAAATAAAATGGTAACGAGGTGTTCTAATCGACTGTAAATAGACAGACCTGGTATCATAGGGTATTACTTTATAGGTACACGGAAAAAAAAGACGGACATACTTCGCACCACAGGTGGTTTACTGTTGTAAAAGAGAAGATAGGAATTTTAATTTAATTTATATCTATAAGTAACAATAAACCATTGCTAACGATAAACGATTCTGAGTGAAATTCGATTATACATGTTTTGAAAGGCCTTTAAAGGTCTTTACAATTTTCGTTAAAATTTGATATTAAAATTCTTATAAAAAAGAAAATACATGTTTAATTTTTTTTTTTTTTTACCGCAAAATACGACGTTTAATGAATACCCTTGTTTAATTTTCAAGCATTTCTGTTTGGTCTCCACAGAGCACTAAATAAAAATAACTTAAAACCTTCAAATTGAAAATATCTAATAATGGCTCAAATGTTTTGAAAATTTTACCACGTTTAGAAAAAGCAAACTTAATGAAATACTTAGTTCACTATTGTAATTCCATACCATTACCTTAGATTTGCTTAGATTATGTTATATTATACTTATAATATTTTTGTATACTCTGATAAGAAATGTGTTTTCGTAAATATTGATAACAAAAGAGAGTTTGTGCTTGAGACGCTTGTCTTTTTGTCAATTAAAATAATCGAAATAGGTAGGTAAGGACGTAAGGTACATGTACTATATATATATATTGAAAAATGCATATAAACCTATTATAATGTATACATATTTAAAAAAGTTCGAAAATATGAATGCATTTTTGTACACTTAAAACCATGTTTTAGTTACCACACATTATTATAAGATAGGTTGGCGATTGTTCAAAAATCAAATACTTACTGTACCTAATGAATAATAATCTAATTTTACTGGTTCATTCAATTAAATTTATAATTTATTAATATATTTTATGCGACCATAAACTGTACATTTATTTAGTTATTTATACCAAATAAATAGGAAAGTCATATTTCTGTTAAAATATTGTATTTAAAACAAATTAAAAATTCTTATTACTCAAACTAAATTGTCTACATAGATTACCACCAGATCCAAATAAATATAAAAACCAAAGGACTGGAACCTAGGGAAAGTCCAATATTTATAAATAAGTATCAAACTAACGAATTATTTCACCTTAAGGTAACTTAAAAACGAGTTAAACAGTATATTTTATTAAATTACATTTGATTAAATATTCCATAATTTTATTGAAACGGTTCGCCGGACGTGAAACGGGTGATCATTTCGTGCGCCCGGGCCGGTTGGTCGACCGGTACCATGTGACCGGCATTCCTGACCAGCAACAAGGTGAGCGGTCCGAACGAAGTCGCGTAACCGGCCACATTGGTGGTGTTCTCGAGGCCGCGCACGCGCCAAATTGTGCGCGTCGCGTTCTTGAAATGCTCGGCACCGGACCACCGTAGTGATCGGGCCATGCTCACTGTACCCGAGTATGGCACGACCAGATCGAACTGTCCCGAGTACAATAGTACGCGGTACCGGCCGTCGTCGAGCAAGGCACTCAGCCACGGGCTCACCGATTGCATATGGTCTTCGAGGAACCTCAAAACTTTAAAAAGTTCGTATTTTAACGGTTGATTCCCTATAACATGCAACGCGGTGCGAACAATCGAGTCGTTTAAATATTTCACCCAACGATGTGTAACGGCGGATACAAACTGGTCGGACAGCGTATTGTATGTATTTGGTATGCAATTGTAGGTATAGAGTCTAGTTCGCGAATCAAAAACCATCATTACTATGTTATATAGAATACTAGCTTTTTTGAAATCACCGGCATCGATTCGGTCGCTGAACGACCGCTCCAGTTTTTCGATCTCATTTTTCGTATAATCTGTAACGATTTAAAACTAAATAAGCCATATAATATTGTAATTTATTTTATTGTAATGGAGATCTAAAAGCGTAACGAAATTATAAATAATTGTATGAATGAAAAGCATTATTCTATATAGAAAAAAAAAACTATATTGAGCTTAAAATTGAACGAAACTTTCGTAAAATTCCCATTATTCCTTCGTTAAGGATAGAAAAATGAAATTAAAAAAAGTTTATTATCATTTTACGAATGTTAGGAATGTTTTAAACTATCCGAAAAAAAACAATCATCACACATCATGGTAAAACCATCCAAATCTAATCATCGTTACGTTCAGAATCTAAAATTCACAATATGCATCATATTTTTACCGTCGATGAATCCGCGTTGGTATCGAGTCTCGCCATGAACAAGTGCTTGAAGCTTAGGGTCAATTAAACCGTTGCCAATTGCCATTCCCTTGAGATTGATTTTAAGTGACGCATTAGGGTTATTTTTATGGATTACGTATGACACAGCCGGCACGTACTTGCCGGCATAAGATTCACCGGTCACGTAAAAGTCGTTTTTCTGGTACTCGGGGAACATCGTGAAAAACTGTAACAGCGCTTCGTACATGTTGCGACCTATTTCGGTCTGGTTTTTACTGTAACCTGCGTCATCATCAGAGAAGCTGTAGCCTGTGTTCACCGGGTTGTCCACGTACAACATCGAGTGTGTGGACACCCATGTATGGTTGCGCAGTTCGATCGTTCCGGATTCTTCGGACACGGAGAACGGGCCGTGCTCTTCAAACAAGCCGTACAGACTGGGTATGCCCGGGCCGCCCTGCAGCCATAACAAGACAGGGGCTTCGGCAGCACCGTTCATAGCCGGGAAAAACCAGAAGAACAGATTTGAGTTGTGAATATCGTCTACGGTCAGGTGACCGGAGTAGCTCTCGATAGACTTCACTTTTTCTGAAAGTCCTTCAACCTTACAAGCTTTACGGGCCTCGATAATATGACCAGCACGTATCATGGGCGTCAATTTTAATGCTGTTTTTTCGACAGAATGCTCTGTTCCATTAGTTCCAGTTGCGATCAATATCCACAGCAATAATAATGTGAAATTATACATTTCGGGTGATAATCGGTATATTCCGTTGTTCGAAACGAGTAGAATGGAGTAATATTGTAAACGCTAACAATAACTACAGATACTCGAGGGTTAATAACGTGCGCAACAAATATTAGGTGAGAAAGAGAAGTTAAAACGATAACTGCTTATCAGTAGATAGAAAGTATAATTATCAACAACAAATATGAGTATTTTACGAAGAAATAAGATTTGTAATGAATGGTTAACATATTTACGTGATTAAATACTGTTGAAATTTGAACCGTTTATTAAATTAACCTATACTTATTATTTGATTAACGGTTAGACAATGAGTATGTTAGATACTTACATTTTACATATTATAATATGCTTCATATAGGTATGCAAACAAATATAATACTATATCAGTTGTATAATTTGGACATAATGTCAGGGGTGGCAAGAATCACTCAGGGTGTACAGTCCAGCGGTGGCTTACTTAAAAAGGGGGAAAAACGGAAAATATATGAAATTTAGGTATTAGTAAAAACCGAAAAACTTTCGCTAACTAAAAACTTCTGAGTGGAGTAAGCATAAATATACATTATGCATTTTCTTTTATAATATTTGTTTAATATTGTACCTATTTTCCCGTTTTTCATTTTTTTCCTCATGTTTTTTTCCCGGGTTTTCCTATTCATTATTAAAATAGCTGAGAAAATAAAAAATGACTTCCCTAAACCTTAGTAAGATTTTTTTTCAGAAAACGTGCTATTATTATAAATATCCGAGAAAAATTGCTAGTAGAAAAGTTGCCCAAAGAAAAAAAAATATCATTGGGAAAACCAATATATTTCTCGCTTCATTCAAAATTTAAAATTGAATTTATTTCAGTAATTATTATAACTGAAAATTACGCAATTTTTTTAAGATACGTAACACCTACTGTATTTTTAAAAATTTCCAGTGTTTTGATTAAGTATTTTTTATATAATTATTATCTATATTTTCCTATAAATAATATAACCCATAAGAAAGATATAAAATTGGGTGTTACAGAATACTCTCAACAAAATTAACGGAGTCACCAGTCCTTTTAAAACATTTTCACGATTTTGAAGCAATTTATAGGTATACAAAATGTTTAGTTTGTTTTTTTTTTTTTTGTTGAATTAAAATGGTTAAAATGGTTTTGACACAGTAAAACATGCTCAAAAAATTAATTAATTAATTAGGGTAAAAAAATGAAAGTTTTTACATAAATGTAATTTTAGTCTTAAGATTTTGACTGAAATCTAAAATAATTACGGCTTTTCAAATTTTATTTAACTGGACTTCGTTCAAAATTGCTTTTGGTCAGCGATGAATTATTGTTGCGCACAGATGTAAATTATATTAATTTTCTATATATCCTATACGTGTCCTATACCCGTCCATTTTTCATTGTGTATTTTGATCGCTATAGGCATAATATTTATTTTGTTATTGTTTACTGTTCGTTTATTAAACATATTAAATTATTAAAAGATTATTTATCTTGAACTTACCTGCATAGGTTTGAATAGTGATGCCCTCCATATTATTCATATAACGACATTTCCCGTTTCGGTTTATGTTATTACACCTATCGCATAGCGTGGTTATATCGTGTTCGTTTGTTCACGATCAAAAATCGATGTTCAACCTCTAATGTTACACATATTGTAAGTAATTATTTACTTTTAAAAAAAGTAAGGGGAGCATAAATCCCCATCATTTTACTTAAATAATAATAATAGACGGAGTATTTTTCTTAAGTAGGCTCACTTCATTTGTATGGTTAAATTATGTATAAATTTAAATTATGATTTTTGAATTTTTCAAATTTAATGGAAAAAAAAAAACATATTTTCGAATATTTAGATTTTTCAGAACTTTTAAGAAGCATCATGTGGCAATATCAACTTTGGTTTTTCACGAGAACCTCATGGTTTGATTCAAATTATTAATTAGATGATTTTACTGAAAACGTTGACGTATTGTAATCGAAATTTTTAATTAAAGTTTCCGAGTTATTCTACTTTAAATACTAAAAAATAACATAATTGTACGATCAAAACAAAAAATTGTCTATATACAATTCCTATGAAATAGTCTGTATCGGATTCCAATAAAATGCTTTTATCCTTAGTATATTTAAAGTAGAATAACTCAGAAACTTTTCGTTTAAATTTCCATTACAGTACGTCAACATTAAAAAAAAAAAAATTAATTTGATTGACAATTTGCATTAAAACATATAGGTTCTCGTTTGAAAAAATTAAGTTGTTATCATCGCAAGTAACTCCTTAAATGTGAAAAATATAATTATGTGAAATAATTGTCGTTGACTGCACTTAAAAATTTCAAAATCTGAATATTTATGTGTACCTAATATAACCATAAAAATGGGACGAGCGTTCTGACAAATCACCCGGTATACTATATTATATCTTTATAATTATAAAAAAAATTATGCAAATAATAATAATTTTTAAAAATTATCTTTATCCACAAGTCCACAATTGAGTCCATCGAAATATCTCCGGTAAAAATATCTCCGAATAAATTTTCCTCAATAAGTAAAACTAATTTGTTACTTCCACTAATAAATTAAAATTATTGTTATAGTATTAATTTCTTGATAAAAGCGTGTATTTAGTATATGATCGATAACATTTTATTTTGTACGCGAAACGTGACATATTTTTATCATAATATCAGTACGATTTGAAATCGTAAGTTTACGCATGTTTATAAAATGTTTTACGTGTAAATCGATTAGAATTTAATGTATAAAGAATGTATTCATAATATTTAATATATTATACAAGAAAGTAAGTGAAAAATGTTTCTGGCGTTGCATCGGTTACCAATTAAATATAAATGCAGTCCATCGTGCCTTATGACGACCATACATTTATACAGTATATGCGTACAGTTTATACAGTATACTATAATGCAATAGCAACAATTTTTTTTTTTTTTTTTTTAATAACACTTACATTTAAAATTATTTTAAAGGAACAATTATTAAGTAACCGAAGAAAAAATGTATTCGGAGATATTTTTACCGGAGATATTTTGACATGGAACTCGATTTACGATGATGTATACCGTACAATCAATTGTAATTTTTTTATTTTAATTTAGTATATTTTAGTGTCGAATATCGAAAATTAAAATTTTTAAAATTTAATTCTATTGTTCATAGGTACGATCATAACCAGTTCCCATACTGAAATTCTACTCGAAATATACCTACTGTAACATATTAATATATAATATTATCTATTCGACTCCGTTTGGAGAATATACATACAACTTTTTTGTTTTGAATTCAAGCCCAATAAAAACAAAAGATTTGTACATACAATTTCAATATTTCAATAATTATACACTATAATATATATATATATATATATTGATATGCATAGCCACCCAACCAAAGATTTTCACCAAAATTGTTTAGCCAATATTTTGTACGTCGTTTTTATGAATTTATACGACAGCAGTTTTCCCATAAAATAAAAAAAAAAATAGGAGACTGGTAACACAATATTTCCCATCTTTGTTTTTGATTTTACGTGAAAAAGTTCTGAAGTTCTGAAAAAAGTCATACAAATGACGTACAAAATGTTGGTCTGAAAACGTTTATGAAAATGGTTGGTTGGAGTGGGAGCAATGGGACATGCAAATGGTCGAAGTAAATGTCCATAGACCTATTCTTACTCTCTGTTTTCGTGTCAACCCATCTTTCCGCATAAATTACACCGGAAATCTTTTTATATAATTGAAAAACAAAACACGCAAAATTAATATAAATAAATATTTGAAATGTAAAATATTAATAAAATACAATAAATTGTGAAATTGTATAAAGTAATAAATAATAATTATGTGTTTAAAACTATTTGGTACATTCTCATTGAAATGGTTTGCCGGACGTAAAGCGGGTGATCATTTCGTGAGCCCAGACCGGATGATCGGACGGCACCATGTGACCGGTGTTCCTCACCAGCAACATCGTGAGCGGCCCGAATGTAGTCGCATAACCGGCCACATCGGTGGTATCCTGCTTAGAAGCGCGCACCCGCCAAATGGTACGCGTCGCATTTTTGAAACGCTCGGCACCGGACCACCGTAACGATCGGGCTGCCATCACCGTCCCCGAGTAAGGGACGATTATGTCGAGTTGTCCGGAATACAATAGCACGCGGTACAAGCCGGTATCGAGCAGGGCGCCCAGACACGGACTCACCGATTGCATCTCGTCATTAAGCAGGTACGTTCGAGCTTTGCACCCGTCGTTCAACAACCGCTCACCTACGTGTAACGCGGCACGGACATCTGGATGCGACACGTATGTCCAAATCCCTTCAAAACTCTCCTCGGTGTCCGACAACACGTTATAAGCGGTTGCCAAACCGGTCAGTTTTTTAAACACTCCGTTATTAAACAGTTCGATATCTGTATTATGAGCACCCGTATAATTGCCGTCTTTGATTTGATTGCTAATAATGTGCTCCAATTCTTCGAACTTTCGTTTCTCGTTTTCTACAATTATAATACAACAAACAATTTATTACATACGAAGTTTTCTAAATTATGTTTTTTTCTTTAATAATTTCTAGACTTCGCTAGAAGTTTCTAGCGATTATTTCTAGAGTTCATTTTAAACTAAATTAAACAATTTGAATATTAAAAAAAACATTTTTAATAAATCCAAAATGGCCATTTTATAAATATATATTGATACAAAATTTTGGTGTTTAAAATATTTAATAATCGATGAATCGTTAAGTTTCTACGAATTTTTGAAGTTTACAAAAAACATTAACAATCTTTTTTTTCATGAAAAAACGGTAAATCATATGCAGTTGATATTATTTAGCAGTGTCAACGAAAACAATTTAAATAATCGTAAAATTCAAAATTTAGAGTATAAAAGATTCGTATATAAGTAAATATTATCTTTAAATACGGAAATATATTAAAAATAGAAATTTCTTTCTTTTAGATTCTGAGTGTGACGAAGAATATATTGATAATACAAAGATGTTTATTGTTTTGTTTTTTTTTTTTATGTGAACACTTTCTACCAGAAATCTTACTCCGATGTATACGATATAGACTCTTTTCTAAAAGGAAATTTTCTTGAGGTGGTACTGTAGGAAGGTAATTTTTCGATTTTCCTAGGAGTTTTCTCAACAAATGTGAAAAAAACAAGAAATATGTAAAACGAAATGCGTAGGTATTAGTTGAAAAATATTACGGCTTTTTTTTCCTGCAACTTTTCTACCAACAATTTTGCTTCGATTTACAATGATGACAATTTTTCTAAAAGTAAATTTGACTGGGGAGATTCTTTAGAGAAGTCATTTTTCGATTGTCTAAAAAGTTTTCCCAGAAAATTTGAAAAACCGGGGAAAAACATAGGAAAACCGGGAAAAAGGGGAAAACGGTATAATAAACAAATATTAATAAAAAAAATACATAATGCCTATTTAATTATTTTACCATAATATGACAAATATATTGTTGACAAAGCATCACTATCAACTGATTAAAATTCGCTCAGAATCGTTTTTCGTTAGGAATAGTTAATCGTTCCTTACAGATATACATTAAATTTCCTATAACAGTGGCTGTACCCATCACCATTATCCTATAGTATGTCTTTTTTTTATTCGTAATAACAAGACATCTCCAGAGATATCTGGTTTTTTCTTACGACCATAATAATATATACGTCCGTGTTGTTGCCTCAAACTTTGGTCATACTGTACTTATAGGAGCTTATCACTGATAACTCTAAACAATTTATTTTGTATTCAATAACTTGTTTTGAAAACTAATAAACATGTTTAAAACCATTCACATAATATATTATTTTGCTGCCAAACAGCAATGCGCTTTTAATAAAATAAGAATACCTATGCTTTATTTAATAAATTTTATAAAATAGTTATCTTTTTAAGTTACCGTTGATCACTCCATATTGATACAGGGTCTTGCCGTAAGCCACTTGGTTGACAGGGTCAATAAAACCGTTACCTATTGCTATTCCCTTAAGGTTGATTTTTATGGACGCATCAGGGTTCTTCTGGTGTATAATGTACGACAGAGTCGGCACATACTTGCCGGCATAAGATTCGCCGGCTATGAAAAAGTCGTTTTTCTGATACTCGGAGAATAGCTTAAAAAATTGTAACAACGCTTCGTACATGTTGCGACCAATTGCCGCCTGGTCTTTATTGTACCCGTCGTCTGTAGTGAAGCTGAAGCCCGTACCCACCGGGTTGTCCACGTACAACATCGAGTGTGTGGACACCCATGTATGATTGCGCAGTTCGATCGTTCCGGATTCTTCGGACACGGAGAACGGGCCGTGCTCTTCAAACAAGCCGTACAGACTGGGTATGCCCGGGCCTCCCTGCAGCCATAATATGACGGGTGCGACGGCCGCGTCGTTCATGGCCGGGAAGAACCAGAAGAACAGATTGGAATTGTGAATGTCGTCCACGGTCAGGTAACCGGAGTAGCTCTCGACTGACTGCGCCTCTTCTGAAAGTAGTCCTACGACCTTACAAGCATTACGAGCCTCAACGATATGACCAGCACGTATCATGGGCGTCAAGTATAGGGCTCCGTCGTCGGTATGACTCATCGACATTGTACAATGCTGAACGAGCGTGGTCAGTATCAATACTGCCGATACGATACACCTCAAAATAGCCATCAACATGCTATTGCTTTGGTTAAACGTTGTTTGACACTGCGACGGGTACGGTAATATTAAACGGACACGTGTACCTAAAGTGAAAACTGCCGATAGGTTAGGTCCGGTTAGCGAACAGGAGAGAAGGTCAAAAACGACAACCTCCTTAGAGTATAATATAACACAAGCACAAATAAATTAATAAATTTGTCGCGTATTTCAGTAGTATAATTGAACAACACCGGTGTACACCGGTAATAAAATTTAATAAATTAAATAATATTTTGGTCAACATAAATTCAATTAAGGTGGATGTTTAAATAAAATGACGCATGTAAGTTTATTCCTAATTGTATTACACAATACATCAGTGTATTACATATATAGTAATTTGCAGTAGATATATTTCGAGCAGAGCTTCAGTGTGGCTATTTGGTATAATTGTATCAATAAAATGTGTACCTATAGCGATAATAGTCTTCGATATCGGTCACTAGATATTGAACGGAAATATTACCATTGCAGGTTATAGTGTATGCATTGTCGTAAATCTGGTTTCATATCCAAATATTTTTGAATACATTTTTTTTTCGTTTCTTTTATGATTGTTCCTTTAAAATATTTTTAAATATAAATTTATTTAGAAGAAAAAAAGAAAAAAATGTGCTTCTATACGTTATATTATGTAAAAAATATATCTGTGTTTCATCTATTGTCGTTGTAAATCACGAGCTACGTTTATATTCATGAAAATTACTGTTGCCAAATAAATTGTTGACTTTCCTTTTTATAATAATACAAATATTGTGCATTAAAAGCTGATTAACTGACATTTTTTAAAATAAATGTCAGAGAAATGTTCACCTAAAACGTTTACATACATGAGCCAATACAATTTCAAACCTTACTGATTCAATAATGTGTCATGTTTCGCGCACAAAATAAAATTCTATAGGTATTAATATTTGTATTATACAGAATAAAATGTTATCAATATTAAATAATTACTTACTCTTGTCGGCCAAAATAACTGTCGTTCATGATAAAAATTATATAGTCAATACTTAATAACAATAATTTTAAATTATGAGTGGATCAAGGGAGTTATTATTAGTTTTACTTATTGCTAAAGCTGGCGGAATTTTCCTGAGTCACCGGTATTATATTCAAATACCGGTTTATTGTTCTTTCGTTAAATACCGTATCTTTGGTGAACATCGGCGACCAATTTGTAACTGCGATCAATTCACCGCGATCCTTTAAAATTATTGTTTAACCAGTGTTTTGCTATCAAAAATATAATTTTACAGGTTTCATCAAGTATAGCATTAGGTACATTATATTTTTTAGTATTTTCTTGTTTATAAGTTAAATTTATTTTCAATTTGTCGGTAGCTACCGAAACTTCAGTAGTTGCCTAAAAGACGATATCTTTCGCGGTGAATTTATCACGAACTTAATGCTTTGTATAGACTTTTCACCGGTTTATACTAATATACTAATACTATAATAATACAATAATAATTCATTATTACTAATAAAATTAAATAATTTTGTTGTGACACATTTTATTGATTTCCTAATATTTTATTAAATGTGTTTTAATAACTTGTATACAATTCGAATAGTTTATCAAGGACATTCTAAAATTAGTCAGATTTTCACAATAGAGACATAATAGATTTTTCAAAAGGAATAGCCCATAACTTTCAACTTCAACGGTAAACAATTTTTGTATTTTATTTTATTTTTATATATTTTTTACTTTATTTATTATATTTTAATTTGATTTTTTTTTGTAATAATTGTTCGTAATTTTATTTAATAATTGTATAGTATTAACCAGAAAAGTCTATATCAATCAATACTTACATAGTTCATTTTTTTTTTTGGCGACCAATTTTAAAACTAGTTATAAAGTTGCTAAAATGGCAATCAATGCGTTTTGAACGCAACCTTTAGTAAAAGGTATTTATCAAGATATTGTTTTTTATTGAAAAGGTGGTATTTACCGAATGCTCAGTATCGTCTGAATGTTCATCTTCACATGACTTTTTAACACTTAGGTTACTTGTAAGTAAGTATATAGTTATTTTTATTAGTAGACATCATATTATGAATTTGTTTAACACTATAAAACATCCAAAGAACAAAATATAAACTATTTTAAAATGATAATTTAATCATAATTATCAATTAAAAATCCAAACAGTAGACATTTTGTTTTGAATTTTTATATCTCGATGACGTGATGACAACTATTTTTTCGTTAGATATAAAAACCCGATATTATGACTATAGATTCCAACTGTTGTTTTCTATACCAGACAATACGCCATTACTACTCCTTGAGTTATACCGTAGACCGTGGTTGATGATATTATGTTTTTAACTGATAAGTCTCGACTATTTCACCAAGAGAACCGTACATTTTACACATAAATTATAAAATTACGGTTTTTTATTTTTTAATAGTTTAAAATCATCAATGAAAAATACTTATATGTTTTAAGTATAATCCGCTTACATAAATACGCCACCGATATGGGCGTTCAGTTGAGGTGGAAGCAAAATAAAGCTCTCTGTTTTACACGTCCATACGTCTACATAACGTCAGCCCATAATACATAAGACACCACGTTAATAGGTCTCTTAAAACTGGGATTATTTATTGTCTATGCATTTTTTTTTTTTGCGTTTCATTGGTATATGGACGAATACTAAAGGTACCATTAAAATTAAAATTCTATCCTGAATCCCAATTTATAATTATGACGATGATTACTTATACAATCTGAAAAGAAAACCTATAAGAGTCACATAAAATAGCGAAATGGGCAAAAAGGTAATTACGAAAAAACAGTTATCGAAGGATATTGGTACTATATTAAGAAATATCTCGTTGATGTATACATGTATATGAAGAAAAAAAAAATGTTACGATTACCAGAATTGGATTCGGTCTACCAGAATTTTTGTATGAGCACAGCGCGCGATGATGTACCTAAACTATGACAGATGATGGCGAACGAAAGTAAATGATTAAAACTGATGACATTAAGAAAATATTACAGCGCTGGATTTCCCACATAGTTATAGATAATAACAGCAAGAATTTAATAACTGGCAATCATTACAATTTTAACTTTTTCGCGTGATCGTTAATGGCTCTAAACGTTTGACAAATACAACCGAACAGTAATATTAGAATTATCTATAAAGATTAATATATTGTACAGCAAATATCAAAAAATATGTTGATAATTTGAGCACATGATTTGGTAGTGTTTACAAAAAGACCCCGTATTTACTACTTAATTATTTGTCTACATTTACTCAATATGATGTATTTACTTCATAATTTGCAACGACTACATAATGATTGAGATTTATCATAAAATTCAGGTTGGATTAAAATATTAGAGAATAACAAAATTAATATTATAGTTTTTACTTTTACTTTGGCACGTTTTACGAGTTTTTTCTATTCTAATAGCTGAATTATAATTGACAATACCTAATAACAATTAACCTAACTGTTATGGTAGTCATAACAATTTTTTTCTCCGTTTAAATAACCTAGCTAAAGACCCATAACTCGAGTAAAAAAAATTTAATTAGTTACGGTTGAGCTCTTTTGAGGTGATCGAAGTCGGTAATAATTAAAACACGGGAGAAGAAGCGTAGGTACTATTTCAAATTGAAGTAATAAAATATTTCTATATATTTGTATATTGTTCGTGTGATGATGTTGTTAATATATGTTATTTTATTAGGCTAAAATAACAGAAAAATAGAAATAACGAGTAAAATAGTTAGTAAAAAATTTTAAAAATGTTACGTCGAAACGCACAAGACCGATTATTATAACAATAACAATATTAAATAATCAAATTATATTATTCAAGTATGTAGCTGATATCGACACAATCTGCACAGTTGATTACACATATTATTATAACAATATGAATGAAATCACATTCCGTACAATATTATGTCGCATTCGTAAAATCCTACGCGATTATATTATGAATTATCTATAGGTACATCACATATAGGTAGTGTATTTTATACAGTATAATATAATACGTTGATTAAATATTGTGATTGCCCTTATTTTCAGTTTTTAGTTTGCAGTATTAATACTTATTATTTGTCATTTTGAATTTAACACTTCGAACAATATTACAAATACTCTACTCTTTGTCTCTAACCTGACCCTTCACAAAGACCTAAGCATCAAAACAATAGTAGTAGAAGCTGCTGTTTTCTATAAACGTGTCTATATTAGATCAAAAACCCTCAACAATCCTCTGATAACAGGTTTACATATCCCGTCACTTCCTAGAAATTTCCGTCGCAGATTCAAAAGAAAATAGTATATAGATATTTTTTAACTTAATCCTATAAAAACGTAAATTCCAAGTTAAGTGCTACTTAAATGGGTGGCTTCTTATTCACGCAACCCCGATAATGTTATATTTTTATTCGCTTTCTCGTAAAATATACTTATTGTGCTTAATTGTATAAATTGTATATTTCTTATAAAAAAAAAAAAAAAGAGGATAGAATAGGAAAATCGTCAAAAGTGTGAACGCCACTGCAGGGAGTTAAACGGTAATTGGATCCGAAAACGATTGGTTGGATGTGAAATGATTGATCATTTTGAGGGCTCGAGACGGTTGGTCCAACGGCACCATATGACCGGCGTTCCTTACCATCAGCACAGTGAGTGGTCCGTACGAAGTCGCGTAACCAGCTGCAACCGATGTAACCGATTGGACGGTGTTGTACGCAGACCGAACTGAGTTCTGGACAGGCACCCACCAGACGGTGCGCGTTGCGTTCCTAAAATGCTCAGCTCCCGTCCACCGAAGTGACCGGGCCATGTTCATCGTGCCCCGGTACGGTACTAGCATGTCAAGCTGTCCCGAGTAAAGCAGTACGCGGTACTTGCCGTCGTCAACCAGAGCGGACAGCCACTGTTTCGTCGACCGCATGATGTCGTCCGCCAAATGATTGAAAACCTTCACGGGCGAGTTCAGCGGCCGCACGCCCACGTGCAGCGCTCGGCGCGTTGCCGTCGCATTCACGTACTCCATCCATTCGGCGTTCAGCATCTTTTTTCCTTCCCACTGCATATTGTACTGGCTGGACAGACCGGTCAGATTTAGGAATAGCGAATCCCTGTCGTTGAGCACCATGTCGCAGAATACTAGTAACGCTCCGATGAAGTCTTTGGCGTTGATCCGATCGCGGACTAAGCACTCTTTATTTTCGAACTGTTTTTTTCCGCTTTCTACAAACGATGCCGACAGTAAAGGTCAATAAATAAATATGAGGTTAAGGCGATAAGGTGCACGCAGTATATACATACATATAAGGAAATAAAAGGTGCATATTTTAGACGCGTAACCAGAGGGGGTGTTTTGGGTGTTGAAATACCCCCATATCCTCTCGGCCGTATTCAAGCCGAACATATACCGTAATAATACACTAAAAACGCTACGGGTCCTTTTACAATTTGTATCTATATAGTTAGAAATGGTTATATTTCATATTAGATGTTATTATTTATTACCTATATTAACACCGTGACGATGACTGTGATGTGTTTTCAGTGTTCGGAAGGAACGCGTTCCTTTCATATGAACGAAACTTGGAACGCGTTCCTTTTCATATATAGGAACGAGAAACGGGAAATAGTTCCTATTTATGTGGAACGTGAATGCAAATTTCCATTTCTTCTATTAGGAAAAAAAAATTAAACGCTCGTTATTTTAGGGATAATATTGTTTAGTGCTGGTATCACTTAGTCAGTTACTAATTTAGTTATATATAACCATGATATAACGGTAATTCGGTGATAATGGTTTAAAATGGTAACAAACAATATAACTTATTTGATAATGACAAACACCAAATTTACCGTTGGATTGTCAGTGTAATAATTTTTTTTTTTTTATTGTAGTATAATTAATAATATATCATATTTTGAATTTTGAGTAAATAGATGATGCATTTTTTCTTCAATTAATATGTCATTTCATTTTTCATTTTTTTGGTAGGAACTAGGAAATTAATTTAATTTAATTTATTAGGATTTCAAATATGTAATTTCTCAGAAGTAAGAATAGTTTCCAATTTTCTTTATCCTACTTTCCCAACTTCCACCTACAATAGTAGCTGCACCCGTCTCCGAAATCTTTTTTTTTATGAACCTGTAATATAAGTATTCATAAAAAAAAAAATTAATAAACGCTTAAAGGAACGAGTTCCTTTTATGAATGGAGAAAGAAGAACGGGAACTAGTTTCTTTTTTGTAGTAAAAACGAGGAACGGGAACGAATTCCTTTCTAAAAGGACCTTTCCCAATACTGAAGTGTTCCTCACGCAGTGTGCATACAAATTATTTATTTTGAACGCATATTATAATATGCCCCCCCTACACATTGTATTTAAAATGTAAAATAAAAACGCCACTATCATTTGAAAAATTCTGGCTACCCGCCTACAGGTACATTTTGTTGGTATAGTATAATAGTTACCGTCGACGAATCCGTGTTGGTATAAGAATTCACTGTACACCATCTGGTTTACAGGGTCGACCAGGCCATTGCCGATGGCCAGGCCCTTGAGGTTAATCTTGACTGACGCACTAGGGTTGTTTGAGTGGATTGCGTACGATACGGCCGGTGCGTACTTACCGGCATACGACTCGCCGGTAACGTAGAAATCGTTTTTCTGGTACTCGGGGAACAGCGTGAAAAACTGCACCAAGGCTTCGTACATGTTGCGACTGACCGCCATCTGATTGAAACTGTACCCAGCGTCGTCACCAGTGAAGCTGAACCCGGCGCCCACCGGATTGTCCACGTACAACATCGAATGTGTGAACGCCCACGTGTCGGCACGCATTTTAACGGTCTTGTCGCGGGTAATCGAGAACGGGCCGTGCTCTTCGAACGCGCCGTACAAGCTGGTCGAGCCCGGGCCTCCTTGTAACCACAGCAGAACGGGTGCATCGTCGGTCGGCCGTTCAATGGCCGGGATGAACCAGAAGAATATGTTGGAATCGTGCACGTCGTCCACCGTCAGGTAACCGGAATAGCTCTTGATGGTCCAATCGTTAGACTCCACTTTGGCCAGGGCCCGCGCTGCTTCGAGCCGGCCCGACCGTATTATGGGCGTTAGGTATAAAGCTCCATCGTCTAACTCATAAATTGACTTTGCCAAACTGCTGCAAGCGAATGCCACCAACAGTAGAAACGAGAGCCACACGGCGAAAGGCATCGCGAAATACTTATTGTTGCAGTATACTTTGTTACTGTTGTAAATCTTAATACGCACACTAGTCCGTGTAGTCGTGTAGATTTGAATGTTGTCTACAGTTAATTCGCTTAAAATAATTCTTGCCGGCACGACGGCTGCACTTTATTATGTACACACAACGAAACAAAAACGCATAGCCAAGTGTAAGTATATTGTAATCACGAGACTTGTAAACGGTACACGTAGATGTGTATACGTTCCGTCACAAACGCTAATTCAAATGCGAGAGGAAAATAGAGACGAAAAATTGTGACAACTGTTTATATAAACGTGCACGCGCATGAATATCAAATTTCATGAATATCATATTACGAGTAATTACACATTTCATATACCGATGCCCTATTCAATTTGGTGATAAATGATTCGAGTAGGTGCAAAATAATGATTATTAATTTAATGTCGATGGTTAAACCAATTGACCAATGACTCGTTTATTAGAAAACCGTATGCAAATATAATAAAAATAATAATAATAATAGTAATAATAAATTTAGGTGTTCCTTACGCCGATAATAGATGATTAATAATATTATAATGATCTATAATTTTAAGCTTAACCTCCGTTATGAGACGCCTAAAATATACATATTTTCAATTGTTTATATTTGGGTTTGTTATAATATTTATAGTATTATTTACATTCATTATTAATATAGATCAATATGATACAGTGTAGTTATATTGAATTTAATAAAGTATTTGAATATCCATTTTATGAACTTTGACCATATCCGGTGATCAAAGCAAAGGAGGCGGAGTCCCTAATCTTATTTAAGGTCAAATATATGTTTAAAAGGTTCCATTTAGTTCCAGTCTACGCAGGACCCTTTAGTTATTGTTACTGAGATATTTTTAATGGCACTCGAATTCGATTTATCAGAAACAAATTATTTTTTTAGGCGAGCCTATACCTATGAGTAGAATATTTTTTTTACCAGTGTGGTGTTGCATTTTATTTTTAAACCCTATTATCGACATGAAATGTTTACGAACAAATGCGTGTGTGGAAGAAAAACAGTTTGGAAGTCTTGCAATCTCCGTGATGGATTTCCTGAAGTTTGATTGGGTCTAGTGTAGTTTTAGTTATCGGGAACGACCCTCAGTTTTTGATTACAATATGTTCCTTTTTGAAGTTTTCTCCGATTAAACCTGAAATTCATACCGTGTTACGATTTAAAGTTTGTTTAATGATTCAATGGATACAGATTTTATTTCGTGAAATAGGGGGCGGACGTTGTTTTACGCGCTTGTAGTAAAATATCCATTTCGTGAAAAGATGCACGAATTGTATAATTATATTAATGAATAATGATTACAATTAGATTGTCTTAAATTATTGTCATTGGATAATATTTTATATAACGCAAAATATCGAATTGATGGTAATGTGCAAATGCGTTGTACAACTTACTGTATTCTATTGTATAACTTTTACAACTATTATTCTAATAATTTATTATTTTATTTGCGTTTTTTCACTTTTACGAATATAACAGTATATAATATTATAATAATAATATAATAAACTACCTGTTTCAGAAAAATCAAAAAATCACAATATAATAATATGATTGTATATATTTGAAATGAATATTAAAGCAAAGTGACATCATATTATTATAATAATATTGTTATGGTACACAAAAATAAAATAAATATTAAAAAAAAAAAAAAAGGAAAAAGCATTTTAAAAGTAGTGTTGAAAAATCGCGTTTACTTTCACACAATTCATTATTAAAGTATAAGTCAGCGGTTCTTAAGCTGTGGTCCGCAACTCCCGGGGGTTCGCGGCGGTTCTATCGGTAAGTATTGATTATTTTTTGTAAAAAAAAAAAAAGAAAAAAAAATATATTGATAGGGGTCCGCGATTTCTAAAAGTCCTTTGTCAAAGGTCCGTGTGCACCGAAAGTTTAAGAACCACTGGTATAGGTATTATAGACAGGTTACTGGTATAAGGTAGGTATACCCATAGATAATGTAAGAATGGATAGGCCATAAGAGTTTATCACAGGGGAAAGAACATTTTTATAATTTGAAGTTACAAGGGATTTTGTCAATAAAGTTGTAAACATAATCAAAAATAATCAATAGTCCATAACTCATTTTACTTTTATATGAATTTAACTATTTAAACTTAATTAGTGTTTTATAATCATGTATAATCATTATTTATTATGTATTAATAATTTAACAAAAACATTCAAATTCCATTATAATAATTAATAATTATAAACCTATCTACATAATACCTTATTAGAAAAAAAATATATATATAAAAAAATCACAACGCTGGTTTATGAAGATTTGTTAATATAATATTAGGTACTCAATTGAATTTATTTATGTCTGAAACATAGAAATGTTAAGAACATGTCTATGGTCTGAAATGGATAAGTTCGTTAATTTAGCCCTGATACGATTTTCCTTTATATCGTCTTTAGACTTTCTAATTTCATGAAAAATATTTGATAATAATAATATCGAATTTTATTGAAATGCCTACTTGAAATTGTTTTGATAATCAAAATTCAAATACAAATACGTTGATTGGGTTGTTATCATTGTGAAATATAATTAATGATAAAACCCCTTGGTGTGTTAGTGAAAGCGGTATAAGTAGTCTGCCTCTCCTTTACGCTTCGGAACGCGGCCCCTTATTATATTAACATAGGAGTGGCCTATCCATTCTTATGTTATCTATGGGTATACCCGATCGTTTAGTTCAATAAATAATTGGTCTCTGGAAAACGCGACTTAGGTATCTGTACATGAATATACGAGCACGGTTTCAATTATTAAATAAATATATACAATTTTCGAAACAAAAGCTTTGCGATGGAACCAAAAAAAAAAAATGAAGTTTAAAATCTCTTACGGAATACACATAGCCACGTCAATATATTTAATACATTTTATTGCATAGGTATATCTGGAACGGCAACACACGTAACGGCAAAATCCAGAAAAACTTCAAAAAAACATTTTTGAAATTCTAACAGATTTAACATGTAACGGCTGAAATTCCGGCATGGCAAAAACTGGATCGAAAAATAAAACAAAACGACAATATTACATGGAACGACTCTTTTTGTCCTATGCAAGCGACATTTTTTCTAAAATGCTTCCCGATTATCGTCCCGAACGTGAGGGCACTACTCAAAAGTTCATTCTCCTTCTCACCCAAAACGACTAATTTAGAATGTATACTTAACTCGAATCAAGAATCGTGCGGGTATTTCGATTATGAAACGAAGATAAGAATTTCGGAATAATATGACACTTTTAAACGCACAAGGCATAACTGAGTTTCCCTCGTTGAAAATCCGTTCTAAATTTCACCGTTTCATATTGTGCCTGTTAAAATTAAATAATTAAAATTGTTCCGAATTTTACCGGTCCAGATTTTGCATTTTACGTTTGTGTTGGATTTGTCGTTTCGTGTACTGCCGTTCCGTGTGGTGCCATTCCGGATAACGCTACGCGTTTAAAAATATATTCAAAGATACACGACGGTCCGAACGTTCAAATAATATATTTGATATAATATTATAACAAATGAAACGGTATGTCGGACGTGAATCGTTTGATTAGATCGTGAGCCCAAGCCGGTTGGTCGTACGGCACCATGTGGCCGGCGTTCCTGACCAGCAACACGGTGAGCGGTCCGTACGTGGTCGCGTAACCGGCCACATGTGTGCCGCCGCTCTTCGTCGTGGGTACGCGCCAAATGGTGCGCGTCGCGTTCCGGAAACTCTCGGCGCCCGACCACTGGAGCGACCTGGCCACGTTCACCGTGCCGCGGTAGGGCACAATCACGTCCAGCTGACCCGAATAAAGCAGCACGCGGTATTGGCCGGCGTCTAGCAGGGCGGCCAACCAAGGGCTCACCGACCGCGGTATGTCGTACATGAGCTTCTCGTATACCACGTCTACGACCGACCAAACACGCTGGCCCACGTGCAGTGCCCCACGGATCGGCCACGATTGCACGTACTTGTCCCACTGGGCCCCCTCGAACGGGATCGGGTTGTTGTTCCACACCATGTTGTAGATGTTCGGCAAGCCCGTCAGTTCGCTGTACAACGACGGCTGGGTGATCATCATATCGACCATCGCGTGATACGCACCGGTGAAGTTGCCGGCGGCGATCCGACTCCGGGCCGCGTTCTCCAGGTCTTCGAATCGCTGTTTACCGCCCTCTGAAAACGATTACGAAATAATACCGTAACACAATGTACAACGTTACTTTGACATACTGTTGTTGTCGAAATGGCACTCTGTAAAGAAATGGCGCATCGCAATAATATTATAAATTAACATAATACTTCATGTTTATTACGACGACAGCGGTTACCTGCGGTACCGCAGTAATATTATATTCATATAGTCATCATACCGTCAATCAGTCCGTGCTGGTACAAGAACTCGCTGTATACCATCTGGTTCGTGGGGTCGATCAGTCCGTTTCCAATGGCTAGTCCCTTGAAGTTGATCTTGACCGATGCCCCGGGGTTGTTGGTGTGGATGGCGTAGGACACGGCCGGCACATACTTGCCGGCGTACGACTCGCCGGCGACGTAGAACTCGTTGTTTCGGTACTCTGCGTATAGCTCGAAGAATTGGACGACGGCGGCGTACAGGTTGCGACCGACGGCCGTCTGATTATCGCTGTACCCGTCCTTGTCCATCGTAAAGCTATAACCCGCGCCCACCGGGTTGTCCACGTATAACACCGAGTGGGTGGATGTCCACGTGTACTGCCACGGCTCGAGTCGGCCGGTTCTGGTCACTCTGAACGGCCCGTGTTCGTTGAACACCGAGTAGAGGGAGGACGCGCCCGGGCCGCCCTGCAGCCATAACAGGACGGGCGCGTCAGCCGTGTTATTCTTAGCCGGAAAGAACCAGAAGAACATGTTGGAACCGCGCTCGGCGTCCACGGTCAGGAAACCGGCGCAGCTCTTCACCGCCATCGTGTCGTTGGGTATGTTGACCACGCACGCCGCCCGGGCCTCGTCCACGCGACCCTCGCGCAGCATGGGCGTCAGGTACAGGGCCCCGTCGTTGCCGTAGGACATCCGTGCGCAGTTGACGGTGACGACGGCCGCGGCGGAAACGACGAAGAACGCCGAGACGACGGCGTCAAGTGGCATATTTTTTTTTTTTTTTCGCGGCAGCGCTCGTCGCGTATAACGCTATATTGAACACTCGCGATGGCACGTGAATAAGCGAGTAACTAAGCGCATAGGTATTATAATATTATGACGAGGACCTTTAAACACCCCGTCTACGGTCGTGTTTAATCGCGGCCGCCGATGCAGTTCCCGAACGTGACGGCGACGACGGGTAGATGGGCAGACACGAACGCGATAATAATATAATAATATTAATGCTGTTGTAGCACCGGTGACCGGCTGAACCCCGTTCGAACGACGACGACGACGACGACCGCGGTGTTACGGAATGCCGTGGATTTCGCGTTAACAATGACGGCCGACCTCTTACGTGCGTAGACGAATTATTACGTACGGTGACGGATCGCACGGTCGCTTATATTTGCGTAGACTAGGTTAGGTCCTTGGACCCGTGAACATAATATTGCGGTGGTTTTTAATGTATTCGCGCTGTACAGTTATCGAGAAGAAGGGTCCGCGCTCAGTTAACAATGGTAGCCTGTGTTGGGCGCGCGCGCACATGTTTGCCCGTAAGGCCGTATAATATTCGATGACAACGACGGCGACGACGGACAATGGAATCGTCTGTACGTGGTATCATTGGATCGGCCGATCGCGTCGTAGTTTCCCATTACCGTCGATGATGAAACCGAGAGGAGAGGACGTGCCCCTCCCGGACTTTCGGCCCGATCCTCGCGCGAACGCCGCAAAACGTCTTTATACATTGCACGTGTATAAATACAGTATAGTACGTACTTACTATATTATTATGTACACCAAATATATATGCAAGTAAGTATTGCGCATAATTCTAAAAAGCGGAACGAAAAAAAAAACAAAAACAAAAAACCCGCACGAGTAAATATCACATCTCGACGCGCTCAACAAAATAATATATACGTACCTATCATCTCATAATGCTCGTATGCTACGAAGACGAAACGCCAATCATCATTTGAGCGTTGCAATTAGTGTCGATGGTCGGCGTTATATTTTTTTGTTTTGTTCATATACGTATTAATATAATATTATGCATTATACCATTCCTTATATTGTCTTACTCGGGTTTTATCGGACGTAAAATATTATTATTATTCTTGGCCAAATATAGATTTAAAAAAAAAAAAAATTAGGAAAATAAGGAAGAGGATTTGCGTAAACGTCTAACGAGTCATTAGAGCTCTAATGAATCATTAAATTATTAAATGATTCGTTACGCGTTCATATTATATTTATATTGTGATAGTCCTCCCCCTCCTCAAATTGACGGACCAAATCCGGCTGGTCGTTCGAAATTTTAACATCGATAATAATAATAGTCCTGGTACAATAATCTCTACGGTTTTATCATAAATTTATATTTTTCTATGACCATTCAATTTGCATAATATTACCTATCTTATGTTTGTGTATTTTGGAATGTGTTTATTTTAAATAATTTGCGAATAAAATTATTCGCATTATTATTGACCACTATAAATCAATAACTAACCGGGTACTGGAGTAGACACAGGACAAAATAACGGGTGGAGCTATTAGTTTTACTAAGATATGTTTTTTTTTTTAAAAACACTTCGGTTAGTAAAAATGTACTTATTTTTCACACAGTACATTAAAAGAATACGGTTTTTTGCTCGTTAGTAAAAAAATGTAATGGTAAAAAGAAATATCTTTGTAAATTAAAAAAAAAATTAAAATAAATGCAGATGTAGATTGGTTTTATTCTGGACATTTTTGTTGATTTCTGGATTACAAGAGGAATCAACACGACTAATACTATATATTATAACATTACCAGTTTACTGAACAATGAACATCACTCAGAATCGTTGATGTATCGTTGATTTCAGTATGTAAACTTAATTGCCCCTATATCCTATCATAAATATTTCAAATTAAATGTTAAAGTCACTTATTTTTTGTGACTTCGTAACTACATGATAGATATTCGTTACCACAGTGTACTACTGAAATAATGCGTTTTATGAATCGTCCCGCGGACGCGATAAATTAATTTCACGGTCAATTTATTGACGTCACGATAAATTGCCCGCGATTAATTGACCGGATACTCACAATCAAACTGCGTAAAATATAATATAAGACTATAGTAAATTAAGTGCGTACGTCGTCGTGTGAGTGATACCATATAGATACTAACAGTGGCAGCTCGAAGGAAGTTTATTTGAATCACGTGGTTCACCAAAAAACGAGTGGATAGGTCGTGAGTGCCTGGTTGTGCAGAAATATAACAAAAATTATTAGGTTTTTTCAAAACAAAAGGCATTAAAAGAATTTTAGACTGCAGAAATTTGATAAATTTCAATACATTTGTGATGGGATGGGGGTACTTTTGGGTTGAGTCGGGTGGGTGGAAAATTAAATAGTTAATTCAAGGTAAAAACATTTCACACCGCCAGTGGATACGAAGATATATATATCAACTAATCTATCGCTTTTTGTATCCATTACAGTATAAAAAGAGATATTAAAATATCTAGACAAAGACAACAGATAAGTGCTAGAAAAATTATTATCTTATCTAGATACAGATAAAAATTTGAAATTTTTCATCTAGATAAAAAAAAGTTAATATTTTGTTCATAACGTAGGTATCATAAGATTAGTGCTAAAAATGATAAAAGTTTACCATATTTGGTAGACATTTAGATAAAAAGTATTGTGGTTTATGTAACTTAATAATTTATTTATTTATTATTTATCTCTAACCATTAGCCAAACTAAACAATTTTATTAGGACAGGCCAAATCATAAATATGAAAAAAAATTATGATTACAACTATTTACTCTATGGGTTAAGTTATTGTCCATAACTCATTTATAACGGGAAAAAAACAAACTATTACTTGATATAACATGAAAATAAACGTCAAATTATTAAGATTGAATTTTAAGAAATTCTATCAAACTCACATTTACAGTATATATGAATACTACATTTATTTAAAAAAAAATTTTGTCGGCACTTTAGGTACGGAAATTAAGTTTTTAATTTAAAATTCTGTTAAGTCAGTTAGTCTGTTATCTAGTCAGTCATAGCCTGGCTGGCCAGGTAAAATGATAGGGAGGTGATGTATTTGAAACCAGCAGTTTTCCAACCGTATACTTTTTACGGAATAGTATTGTACTACTAATTTCTTTTGAAGTGTTGTACTTTAAATTTCTCAAAAAACGTAATAAGCATACGTTAAAATATTTTAGAATTTTTCCATTTTTTGAGTGAACTTCAAGCGTTTTCCTGGAAGACACTGACGAAATCAAAACTTCACTAGAGCTTTTTTTTGTAGAACTTCGAATTTAGTTTGTACTTTAAAAAGATCCCTTTTTGAATTACTTTTTGGAACAATGGGAAACCATTGAACATTTTATTCCAGGAAATTAGAATCAGACGGTCGTGTATAGATATATGTAATCATAATATACATGATAATTGAATTATTTACTACGCCATCAAAAAAAATATATTAATTAGTGGAGAGCTAACTCTATTCTACTGAATTTTAAACACCTTCAATTATAATGTAATCACTTATCATAGTTCATATCAATAAAAAACTTTTACTCAATTGTTCAGTAGGTACGTTATTGATTCAATACACTGCGTTTGGAACTATTGACCATAATTGACAGCGGAAAATTGCCCATTATAGGTATATAACCTAAAAACGGGAAGCGGCCCACTGTCTTCTGAGATAGTAGATTTATTGCCAGCACTACCCTAGCTGTAATGCAATGATTATTGTTTTATTAAAAATATCTATGCTTTCACAGCTAAATACTTCGAGTAAGTATAATAATACTCTATCGTACTTTAATACGTCTAATAAATATGAGGAGTTAGATAGCCTTTAGTCAACCGCCCCTCTCCCCCATCCTGAGCACACAACTAAAACGCAGAATTGAACATTGATCCGTGATCGGTTATTGAGCAGCTCCCGTATTATATTATTCTATGGTATTATTGGTATTATTATTATCTGTATAAACCTGACGTATCAAAACAATAGGCCTATGCGCTATGCTACTTTCTATCCTAGCCGTGGTAAAATTTGTGCCGTTATTGTCCAGAGCTAGCACGAGAAAACGATCGTCACGTGATTTATTTGTGAAAAAATTCAACTAACAAACAAATAATTTAAATATACACTATATGTACGAATGTGATGTGATTAATAAATGTATTACTTTTTTTTTTTATAGTTGTCCTACTCGGCCTTGCCCGTGCAAATTTTTATTTTTTTACCCATATGCCTTTTTAATTTTGACCGTGTTAGTAATGAATAAAAACAAATAGATGGAACGTGAATAGTCCACTTTCGGCAGATTAAAAGTATTCTGTTATGACAACTATTTTTAAATTTTAAATTACTTTTCATCTTAAGCAATAAAGATTTCTGGATACACCACGTTAAATGTTTCACCTTCTAAAGCCAGCACCATTAATTTTTTTTTTTTGCATGTGACACGTAACAGAGCCAGAGCGTGCCATCATCCCAAGCGCTGCTCATATTTTGTTTGAGCATTGTCAGACCTAGGGCTGTGCAAAACACCTTGGCCGTGGGCTATGGTCCATAGATAATTTATATTATGTCCATGGATAGGAAATCCTATTATACATATTACATACAGTATACTGTGAGCATAAATAATAAAGTAATGGATAGACAATACATATTGAGACCGTGGAGACCAAACAGTTTTATGGTCTAAAATGATAGGAAATTGAGGCCGTATATTGTGTACACTATTCTATGTGAATAATATATGATAACCATTATCCACTGTGATAAAATAATTTACCTAAATGAAGTATATAACTTTAATTTCATTATTACGTCTTCACTGATAAGCCGTCATGTCCTATCCATTATTTTATCATCTATGACAGTGAGCGAAGTCGAGCTTACTAATTACCATAATATTGTTATATGCAGTTCCCTACAAGTACAGTATCTGAAACTACATATATTATATGGTTAATTTCAATATTATTTAATTTTTTTAAAAAAATGTAAATGATCGAACATTATAATACAACGTTATATGCAATTTAATGCAAATAATAAATAATATTTTCTAATATTATTTTTCGAATTTTTTATTTCGTTGGGCGCCAGGTGACCGCACAGTGGTTCAAAATTGAAAAATTGTGGCCAAAAGTGATTATTGAATATTTCAAAAAATTACAAACTATTGTATAAAAATACTTTCTATGTCTATTTAGGTATTCGAAAATGTCTAACTTAATAAAAAAAGTAACTTTTTACTTTTCAAATTTATGTTTGAAAAATAAAAAAAAAACTTGTTTTGCCTTAAACTTGTTTAATATGTTTGTAATTTTGGAAATACTTTAAGTTTTTGTACACTATAAAATACTATAGAAATACAATTAACATCGGGGGTTTTTTTTTTCATCAGTATAGATACTATTAGAGCATGTATTATTATTATTATTATAGAAATGTTATACCTGCACTATTAATATTTGTAATTATAACAAATTAGTACTCGTTATAGCTTAAGTTATAAGTTAAAAACGTACGATTTTAAACAGTTCTTTCGCCGACCTTCACACCAATATATATATTTCAAATATCTATAAAGTGTATAGAATCGCTACTGTATAGAGAGCTGCCCATATTTGCCCATTATTGAATAAGGAGTAATTGAATTGTGTGTAATCGAAATAGTGAACGAAATTGTTGTGTGCAGCCCGCGTTCTTTAATTCACTTAAAACCTACTATAAGTCGTCCAAATATTCATGAAAATATCATGACAATAGTAATTAAATTATATATTTTTTTTTTTTTGTTCCCAATAAAAACGCTCGGAATAAAAAATTGTTGAACAAAAAATTATTTTAAATATACGTGACTATTTTTATAAATTGTTTTGGAAAATTGTCATACCATGTTGAGTTTTGGCCACCCTTTTTCAATTTTGAACCATTATGCGGCCGGTACTATATCACTAAACTACTTATGGTTGATCATATTATATCATGCACGAATGTTTGTATATGTGCTAACACGTAAAATAATGTGAAGAGCGCCGCGAAAGGCACCGGCCTTAATAGGTACTTTTACTATATATTTCGGTGTATTAAACAAGTGTCTCATGAAACTTGCATGGAAAAAAATGAAATAGTTAAATTTTAAATTGTACGTAAAATTTAAACAAATAATTTTAGGAAAATGACAGGTGATGCGGCATATCACTTGCCTCACTACTAAATCCGCCACTGTTATAAAACAAATTACTACATTACATTGAACTTTTTTCATATAACTGAAATGTCTGAAAAGAGCTGTGTATAATTAGAAATTATACAGTATTTAATGGAATTTCTGACCCATACGATTATTTTTCATTGAATTAACGAAGTAAAATAAAACAGAAACAGTAAATGTAAGAGGTACAAGTTTTCCCGACGTTTTTTCTAGGAATTTTCTCATAATCAAGAATACTATAAAGAAAATCGAAAAATAACCATCTTTTTAGACCAACGAGACAACAATTTTTACTAGAAACCATCGCCTCTAATGATGATAATTGGAACAAGATTTCTAGTAGAAAAGTTGTTCACATATAGAATAAAAACAAACACATCATTATCATAGAATCATAATAAAATCTAAAATAAATTATATCTTTTATATTATAGTTAGTTACAATGTAATCAAATGTTAGCCTACAGTAGGTAGTATTAGTTTTCGGAAATTATGAATTAATGAATTATGTTTAAAAATTGGTGTGGGAAGTGTGGAGGGCTAAGCCGTCCACGGGTTGGGTTGAGTTTAATAACTGCAAGGGACTTTAATTTTTGTTTTTGTGTCTTTAAGTCCCTCTTCTTTTATTTTATCAACTCGAGCACTGGAAATTTTAAATCGTAGGTGATTACGATTTACGATTAGATTTATGACTAAAACTTCAGTCACAACTAAAATATAAATTTACAAAATAAATTAATATGAAATAATTACTGTGTAAATACACTGATTCCTTGTCCAGATACCCATGTGTTTAAAATGTCTTCGTTTTTAAAATGGTATTGACATATTTTAGAATTTTATTCTAATGTAACACCTAAAGCTTTCTCCCATTAAACTTTTAAAGGAATTTTATTTGGTACACCAAATGTACTGATTTATTAAACCCAGAAAGATAAACAACACGACATGATTTTTCGTGTAAAACCCAATACCAATTATAATCTATTATTATGTAAAAATACTTTTGAACGTGCATAAATATTTTTTTTTTAAATACTATAAAAATAATAATTATACCCTAGGTTCGCATATAGTGGTATCTTTAGTCATAATCGTAATGGTTGTAAGCTTTTAAATTAGTTAGGAATATAATTTCATATAATATTGTAATATAATATTAATTTCATGGACAGAGAGCGTACTAAGTTAATTAAGCAGCTGTTTTAAGAGCGATTTCAATTGACATATGATAACGCTTACAACGTAGTCCATTGGGCAACCAGAATATTATTATCTTTAACCGTGGTAACTATGTAGTATGCTTTTCGATCACACTTGGTAATGTGTATATTATTACTCATGGACCGTGATAGCGCGCAAATGTATGATTACTGATAAGACGTATCAACTTTTCATAATTGTCTATGCGAGCAAAGTGTGCTTCCCGGTTGTACTGGAAACATTGAAAACTGGTTGTAGTCTTCGTACTACGGACATTATGAACAGTCGTTTTATATTTGAACTCGGCGTTAACTTTTAAATTTTCCGAATTTCGTTTTTTTCGTGCTGCACCCAGTAGTATAACTCACGTCTTCTCTATGTTTAAGTTACAATACCTAAGGATGAGATCTCGGTACATGCTCTTCTGCTTCATGACCGTGTTTTTGTTTAGCGTTTTGTTCATAATGTTCCAAAATAGTCTGAGCAGACCGGCCATCGAGACATTGGTCACCGAGACTCACAAACAGATCAACAACTTCAAAAATTTTAAAGTAAAAGAAAACCTCGAGACGGATAGGAACAGGGATGACACCCGACACGGGTCCTTCCCCGTCCGTTCTCTCGCACAGATATAGACGGACAACGTGCTTATTTTTTTAAAACGGATTTCAGGACAATCTGAAGGTAGCCGAGCAAAAGGAACTAGTTGTGGACTCGGACTATTTATTTACTCTGGGATTCGTACCGAATCCCGCCGTCTATCCAAACACATCGTGGAAAAATACTACCCTTCCAGTAGTGGTCACTTATGTGCTGGACGACGAACACAGTCAAGCCATCGGTCTAGTGACGTGCGCTACCAAGTACTTACACGACCATTCAATACTCGTGTACAATTTGGGCATATCTGACTATCAGCTTGTGTTGGTGAGTACAAACATACTTGGTCAAAGAGTCAGTTTTGTAACCTTTGTAATATCTTTAAATGTAAATTGTTTTTGATATATTTATGACAGATGCATTCTTTTTGCAACAACAACACCCGTTGTACAATTGTTGACTTTGATCTGTCAAAATTTCCGTCCCATGTTAGGCGTTCACATATTAAAGCATACAGACCACTTGTCTTGCAGGTATGCAATCAGTCTATTTTGTTTACCTATTTCATAACTTATTTATAAATTGTTGTCATAGGACGCGTTGAACCGTGCTGGTGCTGTGATGTTCCTAGATCCAAATGTACGGATAATATCGCCAAAAGTTTCCAAACTATTTACGATCTATGCCAACAAGTCAATAGTTGGCTGGGAGACCAGAATAGCAACCACGACACTCACACATCCAAAAATGTTTGATTATTTTCGTACACCCGCTGATAATTTTTTCTTTTTACCATTGGTCTTGGTCGATAAGCTAATAGTGTACAATACCCTGGACATGCATCAAGATATCATGTTGCCATGGATTCAATGCGCTCTCATCAGTGAATGTATATCTCCAATAGGTATGTTCACTTGTACACAGGGTTGAGACTTCCGGTTCTTTAAGTTAGATTTATTGAATTTGATTTATTATTTATTCGTTTAGGTGCTCAAACCAAAGGCTGTAGGTATGACAAGAAACCGCAGTACAGGTATTCAAGTTGTCATGGATATGATGTTTCTGCGTTTAACATTGTGTTGGGCATACATTACCAATTTGATAGTACGCCGTATGCGATTAAAGAGAATGCCGATGATTTTTTCATAAAAGTTTCTACTAGCGAGGCGCAAAGAGTTTTACAAAACCTTATTTTAAATATAACAGATACGCCAGCAGTAACATAATACAATTGCCAATGTGTAAAGTATAAATTATATGATCTTAATCCATGTTTCAAAATGAGTGAGTATGAGTGGCGAACTGCCACTAAATCGGTCCCTAAAGATACAAACATCTAGCGGTACAATTTTTTGTTGTGGGTTGCCCTAGTCTTATACATTTTTTTTAGATTCTGCAGAGCATATCAAGGATTGTATTAATTTTATGTGTGCTTCATTTCTGTTATGTTTTGCTGCCTGTTAACAATTTTTCTACCAGAACCCTTGTTCCGATTTTTAAGTGAAGAATCTTTTTTTTAACCGAATTACAATAAAAAATAACCTCATTACACCTACTAAATCCAAAATTCCACATAAAAGTTCTCTTATCATTTTTTGTTTGGAATAAGATTTCAGGTTAAAATAGGTACCAAAATATAAATACTTTCAAAATTTATAAAATATTCTGTCAACTGTTTACAAATTTAGATACTTAATTTATTCTATTTCTACATGTATGCACATTATAATTCTGTGTTATTAAATTCTTTTAAAATTTTAAGTGGAATTATAGTTAATTGTTTAAAAAAATTTTAAAGCTAGAAACTTGAAACGCTCTCAGAACGTGTTTTCCTAATTTTTTTCTACTACTAAAATATAAAATTATCACCATAGATTGATTGATTAATATACATGTATTTTGCATAGCTACTGACCCAGGCAGCCCACCCAAGAATATAACTAACAAATATTTCGGAAGGGAGAGATTGTAAACCAACAATTTGTGGTGTTCTAATTTTATTGACTAAAATCATTATTTTTCCACAACATAAAAAAACACGAACAATTTTTTTTTTTTTTTGGGAGGGGGGAGAGAATTAAAAGCTCCTTTCAGGAACACCTGTGGACAGTCTGACACTGATGAACACTGACCAAAAATATTGTGTTACATAATTTTTAAGTTTTTGATTGAAAAGAGGGCGACCAATAATCACTGATCAAAGTGTTTGAATATGATAATGCAATACAGTAGAAGCCGCTTATTAGGAAGACAGATAATTGATACAGTCGCGTTATTGAAACAAAATATATAGGAACGTACCAGTCTTATATTAAAATCAATCAATTATTAGAAACAATCTGTTAATTGACACATTTTACCTCGCTTTCAAAGTGTTCCTAATAAATGGCTTCTACTGTATATACAATATAGTATATCAGTTATGTATTCTATATTAACACATTTTGAATTTAATTTATAAAAACCATTACATTTACTCATCAATGTATTGAATGCATTTACACATTAGGTAGCTATAATTGAAAAACTAATTGACACAATTATGAATCAGTAATATTTGGTATGGAACCGAACAAAACATATGTTTCTTTATTAATTTATTTTATTCATCTCCAAAATAATTGTACAATATTAGGGTTGTCATATTTTGAACGGTTAACAATTTCACTGTTGTTTTAGTGTGCTAGAATTTAAAACATTTTATTAGTTATAACATCATTTACTAGGTACTGTAATTTAATAATAATGAATGTTCTTTTCTATATAAATAAAAAATTACATTATTTTATAAATAACCTTGGTACACTAGTGAATAGATAACAGATAAAAAGTATTTGTGAAATATAAAAATTAATTTTGGGACTCTGGACCCTGAACAGTTTTGTTTTAATTAAAAACGTACATTAAATTTCCTTTCTACTTTTCAACTTTTACCTACTACAGTGGCCACCTATTATGTTTGTTTTAATTTTACTTTTAAATAAGTAATTTTTTATAATATTCTATATGTATAATACTTGTTGATCCTTTCAAATGCAATTTAAAATAAATTAAATTATCACTAATAGTGTATTTTTGTTTAAAATTGACAACCTTAATTCATATTTTAATGTGAAATTGATTATGTATGTTGTTAACCTGATTTCTTGTAATCACTAAAATGTAATATCTGTGTGTATAGTCTATGACAGTGGTTTTCAACCTTTTTGGGTCCATGGCTATTCTGATTTCGAAAACCAAATTAGCGGCTCTCTTATGAATAATAATAATATAATAATATGAAAACAAATTTACTCTTTTATCATATTATATTTACTACAGAACTTCCTTAATAATAAACCACAATGCACAGGTTGAAAACCACTGGTCTATGGTATAAAGTTCCTTCAGTCATTTATTATGTTACTTTCATGATCTTATATTTTTACCCAAGGGCATATTTATTGTTTAGTCATTTTTAAACTGTTAAATAATTTTTAATTTATTTAAAAAAATGTATATTTGCTAATCATTTTATTTTGTTACAAACACAAAATATATGAAGACATCACAATTTATGTTTATTAAATTCAAATGTATTTTGTGTGGTACACCTTGCTTCTTCATTGACCATTGTTAAAGTTTCTCACTAATCAAGGTGATGTGATAATGTAAGCAGCTTGATTATAAATAACATACATTACATTTTTTTTTTAATTGTGAAATTGAATATATATATATATATATGTATTGTAAATATTGAATTATCAACTATTATATTGAAATAAATATAAGTCATTTTAACAATAAATGAATAATTTATTTGAAGAAAACTTAACTGTACAGGGTGAACAGTCTATAATCTTAATTATGCAAATGCAATTAGTGTAAATGTTTTGAATATTTGTTAAAATTCCAAATTATTTTCCCGAATAATTAAAATTTTATTAGAACCACAAGACACACCTTAAAATGATAAGCCATTCTAGGGCTATAGTTCATAAATAATTATTTATATGCATTCAGAGTTTATCATTTATTTGGTATTTCATATATCTACAACTCTCCAAACCAATTTATTACATAATTTTACAATGATGATAATTTCCAACCCACTAGACAGAAAAAATACAGCCAGTTTATAAAATATATATCAATGTGTATTACTAAATTCCTTGAACTATTTTTCTTGTTATTTATCAGCAAAGAAAGTATTTAACTACTAAAATGTGTACTCATGAATTTAAATTATATGTGTAATTATCTAATTCATTTATAATTAGTACATTAAGTGTATAACTTAATAATTATCGTCAGCTACTAGTTATATTTTCACTCATACATAATAAATTGAAAAAATAAACACAAAACCGTGTTGAAAGAAAAATACATTTTCATATAATTTTGATATATTACTACCTTGAACATTTTATCTTGTTAATTACATATCTAACAATACTAAATATATACTTAGAGCTAATCCAAATTACTAAAATGACTGTAGGTTATAAACTTTGAATATAAAGATAATGCCGAACCATAAAATTAGTTATTTCTTTATAACATACCAGTTAATAATAAAAATAAAAACTGAATTTACAGATATAAATATGAAGCATATCTTTAAAGACAATAGTTAAAAACAAAAAATATGTTGATTTATTGTAGGATGTACTGGAAGAAAGGAATTAATAAAAAGTCTTAAAACTGATGTTAAAATCAGCAAATAACCATTATTAAAGACTATATTAATGTTTTAAATAATCAAACCCAGTATTAAAACTGAAAAGTAATAATTAGTATTTAACTAATACAGTCAATTGAATTTAATTATAATTGAAACCAACATCAAATACAATAAAAATCAATTTATCTTATCAGTTTTCAGCCTTGGTTAAATAATAGAATTTAATTACTTAGTAGTCAATTGATAATACTACTTTAAAATATGAAAATTGTTTTATTTTTTTATTCTTAAATCTGTTTACACATTACATTATTAATGCAGTTCAGACAAATTTATTATTTAAAAAAAAAAAAATATATATGTACAACTTTTAATAATTTATCAAAATCATACTGAAATAAGTAATAAGGGTGTAACTAAATATATATTGTGAAAACCTAAAATTGACACTAAATGAATAATGTTCAAAAATGTTTTGACCAACTCTTCTCTTTATTTTTTTGTTTCTTCGGACTTGGCAAATGCTTCACAATACACAATGTTATCCCTAGTCTTCAAAGAAAATTTCTTAAACTCTTTCCGCACCTTAGCAGAACAAATGAAAATACAAATACATAGTAATAATTAGTAAAGAAAAAAAAACGATCATATAAATGGTCGATTAATCTTAATGTAGTATTTGACTCGTTACAAAGTTGCAGTTGTTAAGTTTAGAAATCAATTGTGGTTATAAAAAAAAAAAAAATAGTTATAAAGGAAAAAAAAATGGGCAATAAAAAATTATTGTATTGAATGTATATTCAATGTCTTCACAAAACATTCCCGCGTTGATGATATCCAGCTCATTTAGATTTTATTACGACCTGTGTTCATGATAACAAACAAAAATGAAGAGCTTTATTATTAATTGTAAAAAGTCATGATTTATAATTGTATAACATTTACCATAAACCTATCAACTAATGGACAGCACATACTTTATCCCCCAAACAAACAGCCATGCAGACATATAACATACATTATAAATATGGCCATAAATATGTTTCTCTCTACTATAGAGGGGGGGTTGCTTGTAATGTGGTGTGGTGCGCTGTCTCAATAGTAATAGGTCCATGGCCCAAACTCTCTTTCTCTCTCCATTCATGCCTATAATTCACTTTTCTTGGCCCCGTCCACTAGTTAATAGGTCTATAATATTCACAAATCAATTTACCAATGTACGTAGTAACAGAAATTAATCGATTGTAGTAATTTATAATCAAAACTAAAATGTTATTAATTTTGTTTTATGACTGAATAGCAATGAATTATTCCTTAATTCAATGGGATCTGTGTTAGTAATATTCTATATACAATAGATAGAATCGGTTATGTAAATATAAAATGGATATTGAGTTTTTGAAACTTTAAAGTTATTACACATTCAATTTTTTATTTAAGTAATACGAATAATCTGTTTTCAGAAAAATCCTTGGTTTTTAGTGTTTGTTAAATTAAGGAATTATTTAACCTGTAATGATTGTCAAAGTTCAATTAAATTATAATAATGTACACATAAAATATGTTCTATCAAACATATTTTTGTTTCTATTAAGTATGTCACAAGACAAATTAAATATTAAAAATTGTCTGTTTTGTAAACATACTATTTTGTTATTAATTATTATTTGCCTACCTTAAAAGGATATTCATTTTAGGACAAATATAAGGGTATAACAGCCATCATATTAAATTATACTGTCCAAAAAACTGTACACCAAATATAATCAAACCAGCATAATATGACCAATCAATCCTATTTTTTTTTTTTTTTTACTAGTAGTTTTAAATATTAGTATCTATTATATAATAAAAATTGATAGACCACCGCCATTAACTTTAAGATATTGGAATTCGAAGACACAATTTCAGTTATTTAAGAATAACCTAACTATGATTTTGGAAATTACTATAAGACTCCTATTTATGCATTTGTTTCAATTTAATATCATTTTAAGTTATTGTAAGTTGTTGGGACATTTTTTTTAGAGGAAATTTACATCATAAATTTACCTCTGTAATTAGTGGCGATAAACTGTTAATTTTCTTGACAAACTTCAAGATCTTCATCAGTGTCTACCAATTTTCTACCCTTGGGTCATATTGAGAACGGGTCTTCATGTGTTCTACTTTTGTAATTTGAAGAATCTTCTTTTTATATATATATATATTTTTTTTTTTGTTTAATTTTTAAAAAAAGTTCTAAAGATTTAAAAGTTCAAGAAGTCTTCAAGTCAATAAATATTTAATTATCTTGACAGTTTGAAATATTCTTTTTTCTTCGAATATGATCTTCAGGAAATGAATAAAAAATTGAATATGTGAGAAATCTTGATTAAATACTTTGAAAGCTGAAAAACTGCATTAAGTAATTGATTATTTTTTTTTGCTTATTCTTATATAAGAAAAAACCCAAGAAAAAACCGAAGAGAAAAATAACGGGATAACAAAAGTTAATCAAATGAATAAGCTTGAAAAAAACACTGGATTGGTGAACAGGGCGTAACTAAGGTCAATAATGTTTATTTTAATTTTTTTGTGACTTACGTGGCGAATAAGAACGCGAACGTGACCTATCGTAGCGTGATCGGTTTTTGTAGTATGATGGTGATCTGCGTTCTCTGTAGTGTCCTCCTCTACCACCACCACCTCTGTAACCACCATCATAGTAATCGCTACAAAAAAAAAAAAAACAGTAATTACCTATAAATTATAGAACTACGACTATAATAAGTACATTATATGTTTATCAATACATATAACTTACTCATAGTCTCTATCTCTGTCATATCTATCGTAACGTTCTCCACGATCATACCTATCACCGCGGTCATATCTGTTATTGTCATATCTATCATAACCTCTTCTTCTAGAAGATCTTTCTTCTCTCATTCTAAAATGGATAAAAATGAAATTGGAGGATTATATATTTAGTTAAAAATACTACTTGGTTTGCAATTGATTATTTCTCTTAGTAATATACATACTTAATGAATACATTAAAATTTTATAAACTATTAAAATCAAAATTATAAAATAAGGAAGGGAATTCTATGCATATTTTAATAATTTTAATATCATATTGTTGTTTACATTTTCCAGTAAAAAAATAAAAAAAAAAAAATAATTTTGTTTATTTAAAACTCAATTAAAAATGAACAAGAATGGATGACCAATTACAGTAAAATATACCGCACTGTAGTTAATAATTTTAACACATTGTACGTTATATTAATCGTCGCTCTATATATCAGCAATTATGTGGAAGGTATTTAAGAAAGAGCATACTGTTCATTTGACATGTGTGAAACAGTACCCTTTTCTCATGAAACAGGCTTTCCTTATTGTACTTTTGTTAACTATTTTTAGATTATTATTTTAAGACATTAAAAATGGTTATCTAATAACGATTCTAATGAATTTTATTATATAACTTAATTTATTGTAGAATTAAACTTTTACTAGTTCCAGAATATTTTTAAAGCAAAAATTTTTAAAATAAATTCAAATTGTCATTATTAAAAGTATTTAACTTTTAATATATAATACATACAATAATATAATTATGTGTTCAGGAATTAGTTATTTTCCTATGTGTAGGTATACTTTAATTCTTGAATACATGCACATTTATGCAATTTTTAAAAGTGATAAGAATTTGTTTATCTATCATCACTAAGAAAAAAAATCAAAATCAAAATGAACCTTGAATACTTGATTTTTTTAAAGAAATTGCAATTCCTATATATATATATAAATACAAATTATAATTACGTAGGTCTGCCCATATATATTCCAGGTGTAGGTGTGTGAGGGCGTTGGGTGATTGAAAAATCTACTCTTATTCGACGTCCATCAATTTCCATGCCAGAACATTCTTCTTTAGCTACCTTTGCATCTTCATGCTTTTTGAAATAGGCAAAACCAAAACCACGAGACCGTCCGCTCTATAGGAATAATAATAATAATCAAAAAAGTTTATTTAAATATAAAAAAGTTCTTCAATGATCAAGTACTTACTTTTGCGTCAATTATGATGAGAATTTTATCAATAGAACCATATTTAGAAAATATGTCATAAAGTTGATGTTCTGTAGTATATACACTAAGACCAAATATACCCAAACATTTATTTGGTTTTGGATTTTCCTGAGACAAAATATTATGTTTTTAGTAAAATTTATTATCATATGACATAGGTATTTAAAATTAGTAAAAATCTAGTTACATGTCTACTACGTCTCGAACCAGAGCCTCTAGAATGACTACGATAACTACGTCTACGATCTCCAGAATATGATCGAGACCTAGAACGGGATCTAGAGTAAGAATGTCTGGAACGACTTTTGTACTTGCTGCCATTGCGACTGGGTGGGCGAGACAACGATCTAGAACGCGATTTTGAGCGAGTAGGCGATCTACTACGAGATTTGTGGTCACTTGGAGATCTGCTACGGCTCCGACTTGGGGTAATGGAACGGGATTTCGAATTACCATTCCGATCCTACAATACAAAACCATTGAAACATATAAGAACTCTAGAACAGCCATTATTGGTAGATAGGTAGGTATAATAGTATTTCAATGCAACAATTAACATAACCTCAATTTTAGATGTTACTAAACGAAATATATGAATTAAAATCGGTTTACTATGTTAGCAGCGGGATAAAAAAAATTTGTTAACCATTAACCACAAAAATTGCACCACGTCGCGTGTATAACATGATGGCGGCATTGTACAAGAATAATAAATCCGACACTTACCTCGACGTCACTCATTTTGAAGCGTAATTTTCACGTGTTTCGTTAACGAATTACTCGATTTAGTAAAATCAAAAAGTGACTTGGTGATAGACGCACTCGAGAAAATAATTTCGTTAGAAACAAGACCTAATAATGAAAAATCAATAGACAAGGACTATAAAAAAATTCATAAGATCTACGCCAACACAAAAATAGTCAGGAGAGATGCCGCGAAAGACGCAGACGCTGAAAACTAATAAACAAAGCTTAGGAACTATGGGACAACCCTCCACCGTACAACGCCATGATTGAGCGTCATTTTACAGTGCAGCAAACATACGCAATGTCGTCTGATGTATGTTCATTAACTTTTTTCAAAAAATATTGAAAATTTTTATGTGAATCGTATAATTACAGCAATCTGAATCATTAAAAATAAATTATTTATATTTACTATATTTTTACGACTGACAACATATTATGGCCCCAGATTTATCGCTGTTATGTTGGCTACGCTTAATATCTCGTAAATCGCTGGTCATGCTCTTCTTGCCTTGTCAGTTTCCTCAATTCTCTATGACTATCGTTTTGTCTTCTCTGTGATCGAGTGTTACCAGAATATTCGCTGTTAGTCACAATAATATTAACATCTCAAAATGGCAGGTGCCACTATGTTTGCACAGCTTAACAAGCCGTCTGATTATGCCATGAAGAAAGTGGAAACAGAACATGATCGGATTCTAGAACGTGAGGCCTTAATTCTTTCGCAAGGCGAACTTTTGAAGAAAGAAGGTAAGGCCAAAGAATTGGCTGCCCTAATTAAAGAAACCCGACCTTTTTTATCCGAAATCAGTAAGGCCAAGGCGGCCAAATTAGTACGGTCATTGGTGGATTTGTTCCTCGACCTCGAAGCGGGTATTGGCATCGAACTTCAATTGTGCAAAGAGTGCATAGAATGGGCAAAAGAAGAAAGACGGACGTTCCTCAGGCAGTCTTTGGAAGCCCGTTTAATGGCTCTTTATTTCGATTCAGGAATGTTCAAAGAAGCTTTGCAGCACGGATCTGCGCTCTTGAAAGAACTAAAGAAACTGGATGATAAAAATTTGTTGGTTGACGTTTTACTATTAGAGAGCAAAGCTTATCATGCTTTGAACAACTTATCTAAGGCTAGAGCATCATTAACTTCTGCAAGAACAACAGCAAACTCAATTTATTGTCCTCCTAAAATGCAAGCTTCTCTTGATTTACAGTCTGGGATTTTACATGCAGCTGACGAACAAGATTTTAAAACTGCATATTCTTATTTTTATGAAGCTTTTGAAGGTTTTGACAGTGTAGACAGTACCCCTAAAGCACTCAAGGCACTTAAGTACATGCTTCTCTCAAAGATTATGTTAAACAATGCTGAAGATGTTCAGCAGATTGTAAGCGGAAAATTAGCATTAAAGTATACTGGACGTGATGTAGAAGCAATGAAAAGCATAGCAAAAGCTAGTCATAAACGATCCTTAGCTGATTTTCAATCTGGATTAAACGATTATAAAAAGGAATTAGAAGAAGATCCAATAGTCCGAGCACATTTAGATACACTTTATGGAAATATGTTGGAACAAAATTTGTGTAGAATTATTGAACCATACTCAAGGTAAATTTCATTTTTGGTTGGAAAATTTCAAGGTAGAAAAAAAAAATTAAAATATTGAAAAAGACAAAATACATTTGAGCTCTATTTGACCAATGTCCCATGATTGAATTTTTGATTTTCCTTTTCCCACAGTGATACGACCAGATTAGAAATGAGCGTTTGAGGACTTAAAAGTTGTATTCTCAAACACTGTCTAGGTACTCAGGTTCTAAGCTAAACTAAAAATATCAGAAAATGTTGTAGAGGTTTTCTATTAGTATAGAATCGTATAGTATAGTAATCTGGTTTTTTTTCAATATTTTGATTTTTTTGTTGTTTACCTTTAAATCTAAATTTCAATCTAGAGTTTTTCTTAATCCATGCACTTAAAATTATATACTTACAAATTATGATGTTTCTAATGTATCTTTAAATATGGCAGTAAATTAATTTTGCTGTTTTTCATTTAAAATATAAAATGCATAGGTATACACTTAATTTATAACTAGTTATAATTTTTCAACCTAGATTATGCTTCATTGCAGTTAATTCCTATCGTAAAAATATTATTCATTCATTAAATCGTTTGAATACCAAAAAAATTAAATCATTTACTGGATTTTCACGGTTTTTAAATTCTACTATACCTATTGCCATTGTAATTATTATAAATTGTATTCTTGTTAATGTGTGCCAAAATATTTGCTATTATTACATATGCTAATAACAATTCAAATTACTTTATTTTTTTTAGAGTGCAAGTGAAATTTGTTGCTAAATCAATAAATTTACCAATGGAAAATGTGGAACGAAAACTTTCACAGATGATATTGGACAAAAAATTCCACGGTATTTTGGACCAGGGTGAAGGTATTCTCATAGTATTCGAAGAAGCTGAAATCGACGAAACTTACGAATTAGTTTTAGATAATATTAATAGCATGGGCAAAGTCGTGGATACCTTGTATCAGACTGCCAAAAAATTAACATAAGTAGTTGATGACATTTTTAATTACAAAGTTTAATAAATTAAAAAATCTTATAATGTGAAACGGTAATATAATATAAATCCATGGTATTCAAATTTACCTATTGTGTTTTCAGTTAATATTAAATAAATTCATATTATGCATTTTGAAAAACATTGTATTTGTTTAATTTTCCGTTTTTTGTAAAATCTAATTTTTTTTTTGAATCAATTAAAGCGCAATAATTAGTATTAGATATTGAAATTTAATTGCGCGTTTTCTTACCACTTGTATTTTACTACAAACCAAATATTTTTCTCTTTGTAAATAGCATTATTGTACATTGATTACTAATCATTATGTGTTTTTGTTTTTCATTACTAATTTTTTTATGAGAATACAAATTTGTATCTTATTTGGTAATCACATTAATAATCAATAAAATGCTGTATTTATTTAAACTTTGCAATTGATCTGGTTTTTACATTTTAGATACTGAGGAACAAGGAATGTATTGGTTTTACAATTTTTTTTTTTTTTATGTGAACACTACTAGAAAGTATACTCAGATTATCAAGTATAACACCTTTTCTAAAAGGACAAAATAAATAATATTTACCCAAATTAAATGTAATATTTCCTATGAATTATTTGATATTTATATTTTCGTTCTTTAAACTTTTATCTTAATAGAAGATTGCATAATGAATATAGTTGTCTGTGAAAGCATAGTAAATTATTAAATTTGGTGTAATAATTTTTTTTTTATTTTCCATTAGATAGCGACTGCAGATGTTACTATGAAACCTTAAAAGAAATAAATCGCCACGTTAAATACAATTTTTCAATAGTCTGGTTTTTAAGAGTATCAAACATTTCTCATACCTACCTCTGTATTTGGAGTCTACTACATTCTATAGGCCACTTGTGTAAATAAAATAATAACCAATACAGTATTACCTACATCAATAAATATAAAGATGAATGTTTTGTAAACATTCAAAACTTCTTGGCTAATGCTATTTTCAATAATAATTATATGACCTTAATACAAAACTAATATAAGAAAAATATTTAATTTTTTTTTATAAACAAATGAAATAACGTCAGTGAAAAATTAATTGTATAATAAATTTATTCAAACATTCCAAGGCCTGCATGCTATAGTTATGAAAATGGTTTAATTTTTTTTGTATATACTTAAAAAGCCACGTTGAGATCTAAGGGCTAAGGTATCTGGAATTACATTTAAAGTAATATGACTTAGATGGTAGGATTAAATTTAAACTTGGTGAGAGTTTAAATTATCTATATTGTTCGACAATCATGGCAGTTTAGTCTGGACACAATTTAATAGTTAGAAGACTTGGAAATCACGGACACCCTACCAATTTTCTTTTGAATACTTTTTTTTACAAAATATGTATCTCATGTTATCATAATCAATTTACCAATAAAGCCCTCGCGGACTACAGTTTAAGAACCGCTTCTAAAAAATAATTTTAATTTAGAACATACATAAAAATTTTATAAAACTTAAAAACAAATTTATATATATATTCACATATTTTGTATTAATACAAAGTATCAACAATTAGTAAATGGGTATCAATCACTTAGTCAAATTTAAGAGATTGCAAGTTAATTTATATATTTAAGTTTGTGTTAGCGACTTTGTAAATACAAGTTCATCTTCTTTTTTTTGTTTTTGTTTGGCTTTTCTTTTTTCTTTTTTATTCAAATTCTTTTTAATCGCCTTTTGTTTTTGGAACTGTTTGTTGGCTTCTTTTTCTTCATTGTATTTGTCCACTGTATTATCTTAAAACAACGAATGATAATTAGTTTTAAACTAAAAACAAATAAAACACTAGATAATTTAAGACTGCATACTTATTATTCGGATGTTTAACATAGTTGGGGTTGGTCTGAACATACAAGGAGGCACTTTAAAATGATCATGAATAGGACATATTACATTTTCTTCTATGGGGTTCCATGTCAACAACTCAGGAACTTCTGTTTCTCCCAAGATATAATGCATATTCAACAAGTTGAAACCACCATACCTGATAATAATAATAAAAATAATAAATTGCATGTATGCACACAAATATATATCTGTGTGTATGTGAGAATAAATAATTTGTACATCACTTACACAGATGAGTGAAATAATTCAATTTCAAACGGTTTTTTAGGATTATGCAACATCATATAACGCCCCTCGTCTAATTGCAAACATTTATCCAGTGTTTGATACAATCTCTGAAAATAAATTTGTTTAGTTGTATCAGAAAGTAAATCATCAACTCTATTTTCCTTTTTTATCATCATAATATCCAAATTATATTGAACTGACACTAAAAAATAAAAAATAAAATCAAGTTACAAAAAACAAATTTCATAATTTTTTTTTTCCAAAATATACAAAGATACTACTTGTAAGCATTTAACAAATTTATTGTAATGTTATAAAAAATATATTTAACAATTTGTTACCTATGGAAAAACAACTTTTAGGATTCCTTAAGTATGTATCCATCCAATAATCGCCAAGTTGTTCTTCAGTGTTTTTTTCAAAACCAAATTCTGGCTGATACTCAAGTTTTGGTATTAATATGTTTTCCAAAAATTCTTGATCCAATTTCTTTGTGATATAAATATTTAGGTATATATATAATACACGATAAATATTTAAATCAAATAGTACAAAAATATCTTACATTTATTTGAGGCATGTTTCTTATGAGTAAATTTAATGATTTGACATTGCCATTACTTTTATTGGTGATTGCCAATGTCCATTTATCATAATTATATTTAGAATTATCTTGAGTGTTACTATCCTCTTCTGATAAGCTAAAAAATAAAATTTTAAATTGTTTTTAAACCATTTAAATTTTAGAAAAGAAGCCAAAATTCAATCCAAAATATTTTCAAATATAGTAAAACCTTTTTATTCACCAATTTCAATTGACTTATCAATTTTTATTAACATTAGGGTTTTATTTTAAATATAAAATTGCGATACAAAAAAACAAATAATTGTTGTAAATTGTTAAAATATTGAATTTATAAAATATTTTAATATTATAGTACAAAAAGTACAATCCTAAGTAATTTGTGGGTTTTTATTTTCACGGGTACATTATTTTTTAAAGGTAAATTTTTACTGTGGTTTATTTACTGACTATTGTTGAGTCTCATACTCAATAAAACCTAATCATAATAATACTAAATAGTTTACTCTAATTACAACAGAGTTTTGTTTACTGAATATTCGGTATTGAAAATTTTTACTATATTTGGTTTAACATTTTAAAATAAAATATCTTACAGTTTTCTAAATTTTTTTTTAATTTCCTTTCGTAAATAAAAACATTTTTTTTGTTGTTGAGAAAAATGTCCTGTAGCTAATGCTCCTCCAATATAGACACTTTTATGATTATCATCAGTATCTAAATAAAAATCATAATATTTATACAATGGAAATATAAAAAGTTGAAAAATATTTACCAACGATAATATCAACGGGCATAAGCCATAATTTGTTAGGTTTTTCTAAATTCATAATATGCTTGATACTACTCAAACATATGGCAATATCAATATTGTTTTCTTTAAACAATGTCTGACAAAGCTTATCGTCCACAACTGTAAAATTATATAATGAAAAATTAGTTTTTTTTTAATAATGAATTAGTAATATTTAAAATGTTTTATTTTTTATTATATCGACTATTTTAATAATTTAGTCAGTCTTAAATAGTTGGTTAAATGTTAAATATGTTTAAAAGAACAAAATCAAAAATGGATGTTCCCAACTTTGTAAAATAAAACCATGTGATGTAAAGTTTAAAGTTAAATATAAAATTTAAACATTTTAATTTAAATTGTATTAATTTAATATTAATTAAGAATTATGTGCTGAGTGGTTCCTAAACTGTTTATAATATCACTTGAGTCACTTTTTTTTATATACACATGTGTACTCTACAGTACATATTATATACGGGTGTTCAACATTTATATTACAACTATTGTATCATGTAAATATGAGAAATATGAGAAAAATGTATTATACTAAAGTTTTTCAATTTATAAACAACTAAAATAATTTGTACATTTTTTTTTTTTTTTTTTACTGTCTTTTTGGGTTAACTTTTGAAATTCAAGTAAGAACCTATAATCAAAACTCCTTAAATAGACTGAGTGTTAGTTTAAATAAATGTTGGAGTTGAAATTTTTGCCAACCTATTGGAGAAATACTTAACTTTTTAGTTTAGGTAGGGGAAGAATAGTGGAAAACTATTTAAACACCACGTGCTGCCGTGTTGTGCATCTACACAAGCACAGTGTTTAAAAATATTAAAAATCTGACTAGCATAAATATATAATATTATGATAGAATAACTTTTTGCTGTAGGTTTTACTACGAATGTAAAATATATGAATTAATTTATAAATGCTTACAAGGTGATTTTTGAGGCGGTGTATAAATACCGTTTTTAAAAGATATTTTTGATTCTAGATTTGTAATATCAACTTTAGGAAAATGAGCAGCATACTTAATATTCTGAAATTTAAAAACAAACGACATGTTACGTCCTTAGTTCAGTACATTTATAAAAAATAAATTCTTACGGATGATTTTATTCTTTCACTATGAGTCATTGTGATATTATCTTCCATCACCTCACCGTCTTCTGTGTAATCCATTTTCATCTTTGATCTATACATGCCATTGTAATGAGATTTTATGTAACTGTTTGAAAACTAAAACATTTTTAAATAATCATAATATGTAGGTGTATAATAATATATTCGTTGATTTAAAATATCATATCTTCTTACTTGATAAGCAGATTTAATATAATCTTCAACTTCCGGTATAACATAGAGTCGACGGTGTTTTAATTCATTTTCCCAAAGATCAGAAAGCCATACAGCAAAACGTTCTCGTTCATAACTAATAAGGTCCATATACTTCTAAATATTTATTTATTTATTTTGAATTATCATTCAAAAAAATAATAATAATAAAGAAAAAATGAATGTTATACTTCAATATTGATAAAATTTTTAAATTTGAACTCCAAACTCACATATTTTATTAATTTATAATACTCACAAATAATAAGGAATTGGGATCCATAACACTGGGATTTTTAAGATGAGCTACATATTTCTCCATAAGTGAGCTATGTAACACTGAGTAATATGGTGGGTGATAAATACCAAATATGAATTGATTGGTGAATTGAAAGTTATCTTTAATCTAAAACAGTTATACAAACTACATTGAAATTTTTGGATTTCATAAATGAAATATATATAAATTAAAATACATTCCTTCTCAGGCTTAGAATCTAAATTGAGCAAAATAGATAACTCTAAGATTTCTGATATCAAGCATTTTTTTAAGCAATCGGAACTTATATAATAATTTTCTAATAAGATTATTTACATCAAGTATATATTCAACAAATTTTAATCTATAGTCAAAGTACACACCAAGATATTCAACACAATTTACTCTATTCAGAGGTAAACACATACAAAGATAATTTAAATATTTACAATTATAAGAGTGTAAACAAAAAGAAAAATCAGGGCTTATATGATATACATTATTTGTTACATTAAAAACCATATACTTAAATTTAATTGTAAATCATTGTTATCACACCAATTTTTTAATGTGGATAAACAGTTGAATTGATATTTTATATAAGTTATCGTAGCTAAAACTTTTGACCAGAATTATTATGTCATCCGCATAACAGAAAATTTCAGCAATAAGGTTTATATTTAAAAGTATGTTAATATAAACTGTAAGGTACTGCAAAATAATTTATATTTATATCACTATTTATATTCCATTAAGTCTTACTTGTTGAGGTCTTTCTAAAATAAAAGATTTAATTAATTTAAGAGTAATGCCCCTTATGCCACAAAATTCAAACTTATTAATTAGTAAATAATGGTTTACTTACAGAGTCAAAAGATTTTTTAAAGTCCAGAAAAATGCCAAGAACTTTAAATTTATTATCTAGGTTATTATTAATAAAATGAGAAGTTTTAGTTAAGTAGATAGTAAACATATTAATTGAACAAAAACCAAATTGATTAGAAGAAAAACATTTATGTTTGTTTAGAAAAAACATTAATCTTGATTACTTTTAAGACAGTTAAAGTTAGAGCAATAATAATAATAAGGTAATAATAATAACCAGCAATAATAAGATCTGTATTTTTCACATTGTTTGCGGTCACCAAATTTAAACAAAGGTATAATAATAGTATTTTTATAGGTAGAGGGATATTTTCCTGAAATGAACGATCTATTCAAAATAATAGGAAGTGAAATAGAGATAGTCAGGAATTTTTTTTTTTAAATCAAATTAGTTAAGCTTTTATTATAAAAATGTGATTTATCTGGTATTTTCTTAATGAAATTAGACATTTCAGAAAGGTCAACTCAAGTAAGATTGAATCATTACCATGACAATTTTTATTTAGATCATTCTAATTCGATTTTACAGAGTTATTTACATGAATATCATCAGAAATATTTTTACTAACATTAAAATAATGTTAATTATTTTTTTTTTTTTTCATTGTTATTACTGTCGCTTATAAGGTGTTACCAATGGGTATCCTCCCTAATCTCAAGATTCATATTAACTGTTCTCATTTGTCATTTATCAAACCTACTCATTATACAAATAATATGTATAGATTGTAGATTTATTTCAATAAAATTAAAAAAAATAATAATATTTAGTTAATTTAAAATTTCAATGTTATTAGTTAAAACAATAAATAAAGTTCCCTTTTTTTTGGTTAAATAAGTGGCTTCATTTATTCATTTCTAGATAGGTATTTTTAATATTATCTTTAAATTAAATAAATACATTATTGTAATATGAACGAGATTTTTTTTTTTTTATTAATGAATATAGTAGATTTCTAGTAGAGATCTAATATAGTGGTTTTTTTTTTTTTAGTATTAAATCAAAAGGTGCTTCTTGTGTTTTTCAGTACCTACAATTTATGTCTGTTATTATTTGAGACAAGAATTCTTATTAGTTGTCCAAACTTTATTAGTTGTCTCAAAGTTTTTTGATTTTTAGATTTTGAGTTTAGCAATGAATGTATTGGTTTTACAAAATTGTTTATTTTTTTTTATGTGAATACTTTTTTTTATTAAAAAGCTTAATCAGATTATCAAATATACTTAGCACCTTTTCTGAAAGACAATGTTCGCTGCATGGAACTTTAGAGAAGTTGTTTTTTGAATTTTTCATTAATATTCAAGATAATGAAGAAAACCTTGTTCATTAGTTTGAAAAAGATTGAAATATTAAAATTAAGGTTGTCATACAGTAGAGCAGTGGTTTTTAACCTTTTTGTTATGGCGACCCACCTTAAAAATAGCTGTCCTAAGATATTGGAGGTACAGCCAAAATTGTAGGTGGAAAGATGGGAAGGTAGGATACAGAAGGGAATTTAATGTATATCTGTAAGCAATGATGAACCATTGCTAACGAAAAAAAATTCTGAGCAGAGTTCAGTTGATAGTGATGCTTTTTTAACAATATATGTGTCATATTATAGTAAAATAATTAAATAGGCTTTGTATATTTTTTTTAATAATATTTCTTTAATATTGTAACGATTTTCCCATTTTTACCCAGTTTATCATATTAACCTAACTTAACACTTTGAAAAATTACGTCCTTAAAGAACCTTCCCAGTCAGATTTCCTTTCAGAAAAAGTGCTATCATTGTAAATGAGAGCAAAATTGCTGGTAGAAAAGTTGTTCACAGGAAAAAATAAGACTGTAATATTTTTAACTAACATCAACCATTCATTATAGAATAGATCTATTCTATAATAAATGCTAATACTTTTATTTTGTACTTTTTAAGTTTTTCCTGTTTTTTTTTTTTTTGGTTTTTCACATTTGCTTATTTTCTTATTATTTTTACTAATATATTTTTTATTTTTATATTTTATTACATTATAATCAAAATATTTTTCTTTCTTTGCGATTCAGTAAAAATATTTCACGGCCCATGGATTGAGAAACATTGCAGTAGGGGATGCAATAAAAAAAACTGAATTAACACTCAATACATACCCTATCTTTCTTATTTTTTCCTTTCTTTTGGGAAACTTCGCAATTTTTTTGAAAACAAACAGCATTATCCAATAAGTACTGTAAGTCATCTAATGGTGTTTTAGGGCTAAGCAAAACAAAAATAATATCAAATATTTAATAGTTAAGAGTAATAAATATGAATCCGAAAATATATTACTTATTATCAGATCTTGAAGGGAGATCATATTGAACATCTTGAACAGCATTGGAAGTATTATCTGTTGAGTCATTTTGAAGCAATTCTGTAGAAATTGCCAATCTAATTTAAAAAAGGCAATAGAAATTGAACTTAATTTATCTAATTTTATTAATTAACTATCAAATAGAATATTACTTATTATAAAATGTTGAAGGAAGATTATGTTGAACATTTTGTGTGCCATTGGAAGTCTCATCTGTCGAGTCATTTTGAATTAATTCTGTTGGAACTACTGACCTAAGTGAAAAAGACACCTATATTAATTAACAGTAGGCGTAAAGTAACAGTAAGTTTAGTAACAATAGGTACCTACTAATATTATTTTTAATTCATTTTTTGATTGAAACATGGCTTAGTGTTGCGGAAAAAAACCAACCTATCCAAAAACGACTTACAAATTAATATCTTCCATCATAAATAATTTTAATTTGTTACTAGGCTAATTATTTTTCTTATGATATTGAATAATATATGCATAGAGGTAAGGATATACAAATATAGTGTAGGTACCTAGTTACTATCACAAATTAAGATGGTCACTACACCGTTGTAGTGTCTACATTACTCACATTATTTTTTTAAAAAGCCTCTTTGAAAGCGAAAATCGTATTCTGATGCGTTCACAATGTGGATGGTGATCAAACTCGATTTCGTTTAATAACGAACATTACACGACCTACACGAGTAATAACTATATGATTTTGCGTCGACCAAAAGTAAGACAACATCACAGCACAACTGGTAACGAAATACTGTGCACATGACAAAATAAATGTATTATGTCTACTGTTTACGGTTTAGTGTTTACATAATAATAGATGTACGACAATTTATGTTACAGGATATTATCATTGATTATATTATTATTATTATAACATTATATCAATGATACTATAGTAATCTATACATAGAAGCCTAATGGATACTTCTGAAAATATTGCTAAAGGTAAACAACGAAAACGGGCGCCAAATGTTATAAATGATAATACCGGAAGTTCAATGGTAATCAGCGACGACGGAACACTCGGTTCTACTATTGGCAATGATAATTGGTCGCTTACCTTTTGCCTCTTATTACTATTATTTTCGTTGCCATTCGGTTGTTAATATTATTAGCACCAAGTGCTTGTCCATAATATGTCTATATTACGATGCGGTCCTTGTCGGAGCGCGCGTTTTTAGCGGTTATCGACTTTTAACACAATACTAACATTTTATGATATTTTATTCGATTACTAAATCGTTATATTATATGCATATTACTTTGTGAAACGTCTTCGAAAAGACCGTGTGCAATAAAATAATTATTATTCGTTTATTTACTTGACAACAATAATATTGCACTAAGTTTAATAGAAATCAAATATTATTAATGTATTTGTAGTGACTTTTTAGTTTCGGAAATATTTAACAATGTTCGATCTGTTTGAAAGTTTAAGCACAGTCTATAATCCGCAAATACTTACAGTTATTGTGTCATTCGATTTTTGATTATTATCGATTTTACCGGTGTGCGTGAAAACGGCCGATCAGATATAATTTCAATGAACAATAGTAATAATAAGGGACAAAGGTAGAGGCAACAAATAGTGAAACCGAGGATATTTTTGATTTCGTCTCTTTATTATCGACTTTTCGGTAACAAGTTTTTCCGGTTCTTCTTCGCCTTCATACCGACTATCGTTTTTCCATCACACGGAATCACCTCATAGCCAACCCGTGTGCTGTGTAAAATTAACGACGCTTTCCCGAAAATACATCAATTATTAGTAAATAATATTATAATATGTACAATGTGTCAATGTACATGCATTTTTCAAATATATAAAATGTGTGGGTACGTCAATTAATTTTTTTATTAAAATTAAAAACAAACAAAAGTTCAAAACCTAATATTGTTTTTTTTTTTAACAAGTTGACACGATGAGATATAGTAAAGAAAAAAATAAATTTAATCAATGTTAAAAAATATCGGGTATATTATATTTATCGGGCGGGGCCCCTTTATACGGCGTCACCCGGAACCACGGTCAAGTTACATACCCGGCCATGTCTGGACAGCACGGACGCGCGCTCAGATCACGGTGTTAGAATAATACTATCATAACTATCCGGGTGCCTCTAATGTGAAGCACCTCCATGTCTTTCACTGTCCTTTTCATCATTATGCTAAACCCTTTACCTATTGTGCTCCTTAGTACAGATTGTAAATATTCATTTAAATAAACGATCAGAAACAAAAAAACAAAAACCCTATACCCATTATCATAATGATATTCTTACTACGGATGAGCTACGCGGGGCCATAGGGTATAAAAGGGCGGCCCTTTGTATCGGCCGCTCACCGTGTCCCGAAATCCCCATGATTACTGTCGTGATTCCGGTGAAATGCGCGCGCGCAAACTAGTAAATCGTCGTTAACGACTCGACGCGAAAAAACCTCCCATCTGTGCCGACTACCCCATTTTTCGGGAAACACGGAAAACGTTTCGAAACAATTGTTAACAGTCGATGATTGACGGAAATAAATTTTAAAATTGTAAAACCATGAAGCTATTCGGAAAAAAAATCTTAACGAGTAGCTACGGATATTGTATAAATTGTCAATATTTCCCCACACAGGAAGGTTTGTTAGTTACAACGTTTCGCCAACATCACACGGGATGTTTTTCAATGTTACATAGGAGGTAGGTACCTATTTCACAAACGATATTTCGGTGCAACACCCGAGAGGTTTTGTTTTCTATTTTTCATTAATTCTTTCACGGAGGTAGCCGCATAGCCGCATAGGAGATGTTATCATTAAATGATAGCTTATTTTTTTCTGAATCCAGGGATACCAAAACCTCAAAATCGAAAATTTTGCACATGGGAGGTTTTTTCCCGCCAACGACGAAATCGGAAAAAATTACAATTCGTTTCACAAAATTTTCGAATTTATAATATTTTTGATTAATAGTGTTGTCCATACGAGCATATTACGAGCACATGACTGCACCGGATCATTTGTAGATGTACATATTTTCTCCCCTAAATTTTTCAAAAATGTTAATACTGTATTTAGTTAGGAAACTATTATTATTGTTTTTATTTTTTGTTAAATACCTAACTAATTTTGTCTCAATGTGACACCAAATTCACTATGAAAATTAAATCGTTAAATGTCCAAACTGGTACGGTCGATTTTCCAAAAAAAAAAAAATAATAATAATAAACATAATCTCAAAAAACATTGATAATTATGATAAGAGTTGAAATGATAAAAAAAACCCATAAAGACATAAAGTATTGATTCTGGCAACGTTCAACGCTGACACTGTCACACTGTACCTATGTAAACATTGAACGTAGAGAAGTTTATTTTCTAATTATCCTTGTAATTCTTGTTTTATTTTTTGTATATTTATTGTGCGAGTTTGTTACAACACCGGTTTATTATAACATAAACGAAGATGCCGCGAATTATGATCAAAGGCGGTGTTTGGCGAAACACTGAGGTGAGATTACTAGGGACATTTTCCAAAATAATTATTTAATAATACAAATTTATTGATTTTCTTACCGTCGTTTTATTCAAATACCTATTTCTTGTATTAAACGACTGCTTTTTAGCATACTTAGGTAGTTAATATTACGTGTCAACACAAATAAAAAAAACCTACCTATATTTTTATGTAGGTTAATCAAATAAAATATAAACCACTTCGTGTACAAATTTACCACATCTAATTCTATGGTTGCTATACGTCCCGAAAAACCAGCTCAGTCGCCGGTTTTTGACTTGGTGTACCGGTGTCACGAAAATAAATGTCGGTACCCATGCCAATATGTCCCGGTTATGAGAAAAATGTATATTATTTAATTTTGACATTTTTTTTCGAGTAACTGTTTCAAAACTGTAATCGAGAGATAATGATTATATTATTAACGAATATGGGATAAAACAATAATGACAAAACCTTGTATAGTATCCAAATATTTATGAATAATTACTTTTATCTTTTATAACAATCTATTTAATAATTTAAAAAAAATAATATATGTTCTTTATATAATAAATTTATAATCTATAAAAACATAAATGCAATTTTTATTGTTTTAGTTTATAAAATATTAAGTACCTATAGGTTTTTTTTTTATTACATATACATTATATAGGTATCATATTATAATCATATTTTCAGTCTAATTTTATTTGCTATTTTTTCTATTCATCTCGGATTTGCTTTATAAAATTATGGCAACCCTACCTAATAGAATAAATGCTGTCAGTATTATGTGAATCATAAGCAAATTTAATATGTGTACCTATTGTTTTCTATGTAAATATAACTATAATTTGAAGTATTTATTCAAATTTTGATTTGGTAAACCAATGTGAGCTATTTTTTAAATTTGTTATAATGTCGTCAAGGGTAGCTGTTGGTATCAAATTGTATAAATTAAAGGAAAAAAAGGACACATACCAAAAAAACGTACTGGGAAAAAAAAACCGGTAAAAAAATATTAGGAAAGAAGCCCCATTGTAAATTAATACTTCTTCAAAAATAATAATGAATCTGTAGGAAAATTGAAAAACATTGTCTTTTTATTTATATTAAACTAATTGATTTCAATGACAGGTTAGGCTTATATTATGACAATTTTACATATTATTAAAACTTTTTCTTTAATGTATAAATTAACCTACAAAAGTCTGTTTGTTTTAAAAATATATTATTTTGTTTATTACGTTTATTCATGATCCTAGAATTTCGTACAACTAATCTGGTATATTCTTCTCTTTTTTTGTATTTCATATTGACAACATACAGTTAATATTATGTAGTATATAAGTGTATAAAATATTATAATTATTAAAAATCCAAATATCTAATAAATATATAGGGGTAAATAGATTCCCAATAAAATCCCTCTCGCCCCCTCCCTGAATAATCTGCCACTGATTTAGAACATTTCTAATGGAAAATCAAATGTATCAAAATATCAATAAACCATCTACAGTTTTACTATGTTAACAACATATCCAATTATTCCATCTTCCCTTAAGAGTCAAGATTAAACTTGGTTGATTTATCTTATTTTACTTGCAACCACTTCAGAATGATAACAGATTCTAAACTATTTCAACAACCAATATACTGAGTAAAATACAAATTTTTTATTTTATTGATGTAGACATATTTAGGTTTCTAAACTTAAAATTGTCTACCTGAATCCTCGCTGTCCGTCCATATAATTCTTACTACATAGCTATAGTTAATCAGGATATATATACAGGGTTAAGTACGAACTAATATAAAAAAAAATATGTACCAAAATATGAGTACTTCAAGAATTTAAAGTCTACTATTAAGATATTTAATTTATTTAGATTCTTTTATAATATACTAACAAATTATATATATATTATGTATACATATATTACCAAAATCTTTCAAAATTGTATATAGAACATTTTTTGTTAAACTTGTTTAAAGATAATATTATAGTTTTTATAAAAAAATTTTTTGTGTAGGATGAGATTCTTAAAGCTGCTGTTATGAAATATGGTAAAAATCAATGGTCACGTATTGCATCATTATTACACCGTAAATCAGCTAAACAATGTAAGGCACGTTGGTTTGAATGGCTTGATCCGAGTATTAAAAAAACTGAATGGAGTCGAGAAGAAGATGAAAAACTTTTACATCTTGCTAAACTTATGCCTACACAATGGCGTACAATCGCTCCAATTGTTGGTCGTACAGCTTCTCAGTGTTTGGAAAGATATGAATATTTATTGTGAGTATGGTGTTGAGTTTAAATTATATACATATTTTTTTTTTCAAATTATTTCATAGAAAAATAATTATATTTTCAAAAAAAACAAATATATTCAATTAGATATAATTTATTTTAAATGTTTCTAGAGACCAAGCACAAAGGAAAGAAGATGGCGAAGAAGTGGGAGATGATCCAAGAAAGTTAAAACCTGGGGAAATTGATCCTAACCCGGAAACAAAACCAGCTCGTCCAGATCCTAAAGATATGGATGAAGATGGTAAATTTACTAATTTGAGATCTTTTATTTTATATTTTATTTAATTTATAAAAATAAATAATAATATATTTAACTGTTATCAAGAATGTAGAAAGTTAAAAATAGTAAATATATTTTTAGAATTTAAAATACATAATTATGTATAGCTATTAATTATATTGACGTTGTTAAATGTATACAATTAAGTATTCCAACTAAACAATAAAAATACTTTAATATTTTTTAGAACTGGAAATGTTATCTGAAGCAAGAGCTCGTTTAGCTAACACTCAAGGGAAAAAGGCAAAGCGTAAAGCTCGTGAAAAACAATTAGAAGAAGCTAGACGACTTGCAGCTCTTCAAGTGATTTATATATTTATTGTAAAATATATGACTATGAATATAATATAATGGTGTTTAATTTTATAGAAACGAAGAGAACTGCGTGCTGCGGGTATAGGTGTAGGAAGAGGCAATAAACGAAAACGAGGTATAGACTATAATGCTGAAATACCCTTTGAAAAAAAACCGGCCTTAGGTTTCTATGATACTGCTAATGAAGAAGTTGATCCATTGGCACCTGATTTTAAAAAATTAAGGCAGCAGAATTTAGATGGAGAACTACGTGTTGAAATTGAAGAGGTCTATTATTTTTTACAGTGTTTATTTCTTGATGTGTTTTTTTAAATAATGTTTAAATTTTAGCGAGAAAGAAAAAAAGACAAAGCAAAACTTAAACAACGCAAAGAAAACGAAGTTCCATTAGCTATGTTAAATAATCAAGAACCTATAAGAAAAATGAGTAAACTTGTTTTACCAGAACCACAAATTTCTGATCAAGTAAGATTAGTACAGTCTTTTTTTTTTTAATTAATGTTTTAATAATATTATTGTTTTTATTATAAAGGAATTGCAACAAGTTGTCAAATTAGGACGTGCTAGTGAAATGGCACGAGAAATAGCAATGGAAAATGGTTCTCAACAAGCTTCAGATGCATTATTATCAGATTATACACCTTCTATTAATAATATTCCTGGTCGCACTCCAAGAACACCATCGGTGTCTACTGATAAAGTTTTGCAGGTATTCTTAAATCAAGTATCAGACATTATGGCATAATAACATTTAAATTGTTTATTATAATGAGAAACAAAGCTATTATTTCATTTTGTTTGTCTAAATATTTTTTCTACAGAAATATTGCTCCAATTTTTAAATGTAGTATCTTTTCTAAAAGTAAATTATATTTAGTTAGTGCAGAGGTTCACAACCGGGGTTCCACAACATATTGGTGTGCTGTGAGCGTTCTCTAGTGGCGCTGTGAAAATTAAACAAAGTGCGTAGTGAGCATAGTGTGCCTTGTTTAAAAAATGTTTGGGCACTACTGGTTTGATGTATGTGTAATTACACAGATAATATAAAAATATAAAATCTATTTTAATTTTGTTCTGGTTGTTCTCTATGTAAGACTATTATAAAATGATCATGCCACCATTGATTTATGACAAAACCAAATACCTGTAGCTTTATCTTGACTTTATTTTTATATCTCCAATTAATATTTAATAACACTATAAGTTTACTATACAATTTAAATTTATTCATAATTTATATAAAATATAAGAATCTAATGTGTGTACAGTGGTGGATACAAAGGAGGACTATGTTAACTGAAGCCCTCCCTTCGTATGTGTAGATACTTAAAAACTAGGACTTAAACATTGTATAAATTACAACTTATATCAAAAATACATTTTTTAAAGCATATAAAAAGTGAATTTTTTTAGTCATCTTCTTTATCTATTTCCTATGTTTGCTTATACTTATCTTAGAAAACTTAACTCATCAAATATAAATACACAATATACCTACTACTATAATACGATAGGTTAAAATCGTATTTTTTCAGTATTTGAAACTGCATATAGATATGAATTAAATAACTTAATGCATCTTACCTTCTCACTTACAACAATGGCATACCCATCAGCAGTATCAATTGTTTTTTATTCCGTATATTTTTAATAGCGGAAGATTATTTGTGTTCACTATTTTTACTATAGTATAATATAATATATTTTATAATTAAACAACAATAATTTAATATTAATAATTATATTTTTTTTTTCAATTTTTGTAGGACGCACAAAATATTATGGCGCTAACACATGTAGATACACCCCTTAAAGGGGGTCTTAATACAGAGTTGCAAAATGTTGATTTTAATGGTGTTACCCCACAAAGGCAATTAATAACAACTCCTAACACAATTTTAGGTACTCCGCTCTCACAAACTACTAATGATGGTTTTCAAACACCACAAACTGATCGATCAGTAGTAAAACCTGGCATGGTTACTCCCACTCCTTTAAGAGATCAATTAAGTATTAACCGTTTAGATTCCATGGAAGTAGATATTATAAATACACCACAAGCTATAAAAAACTATCAACATCAAGTAAAAGAACAATTGAAAGTAGGGCTCAGTACATTACCACAGCCAAAAAATGATTTTGAAATTGTTGTTCCTGAAGACCACCCTGAAGATGAAGATACAGAAATACCAAAAGATTTTGTAGAAGATCAATCTGATGTAGAGATGCGTAGTGCTGAAGAACTTCTTGCTCGCCGTAAGTAAAATTTAAGTAGTAGCATTATAATGTAACATTTATTTTTAAATTAATGTTTCTTTTATACAAATAATAATATTTATAAAGTTGAAAGTGAAATAAATCGTAAATATTAAATATAATGATGAATTCATAACATATTTTACAGGGCAATTGGAAATGAAATTACGATCTCAAGTAATTCAACGGTGTTTACCTCGTCCACCAGATACTAATATTGTTCTAAGACCTTTAAATTCAGAGCCTCCTCTGACAGACCTTCAAAGAGTAATATATAGATTCACTATAAGTATTTATTCGTAAATACAATTTGAATATGTTTATTCATATAGGCTGAAGAATTAATTAAACAAGAGATGATTACGATGCTTCATTATGATGCTGTTTGTGACCCTCTTCCTCCAGAAGTTGCAATACTTACTCAAAGTGGTCCCAAAAAACAGCCAATATTAACTGAAGGTCAGCATTTGGCGTATTTACAGGCACATCCGTATCAACAGTTTACAGAAGGAGAATTAGAAAATGTAATTAAAATAATATTTATTTTACAAAAAATGGTGAAATATTGTTTTAATTTAAATATACTTTGCGTGGTTTTTTTTATATATAATATTTTATATTTCATACATTTTGTAGGAAGTTTTTATTTCATTATGTAAAAAAAAAATTCCTAAATCAGTTATTTTAGAAACGCAATATAATGAGTGTATATTAATTAATCCAATATAAATTATTATGGGTCAGTACTGTAAAAACTAAATTAATCACAATTAAGGTTAAAAATAATTTACATTTTTTTATAATTGTAAATATTGTTTTAGGCGAGACAATTGTTGAAGAAAGAAATGGAAATTGTTAAACAAGGCATGAATCATGGTGATCTATCATTGGATTCTTTTACCCAAGTATGGGGCGAGTGTTTAGGTCAAGTTTTATTCTTACCCAATCAAAATCGTTATACAAGAGCAAATTTAGCGAGTAAAAAAGACCGGATTGAATCACTAGAAAAGAAACTAGAGCAGAATAGAGGTCATATGACAAAAGAAGCAAAAAAAGCTGGCAAAATGGAAAAGAAGATTAAAATTATTCTTGGAGGATATCAAGTATATGAAATAATAATTATTTACAAAAGTTTTGTTTTGCATTTTATTATTTTATTTTTTAGACTCGTTCTCAAGGACTTATTAAACAATTTCATACCCTTGTTGATGAAATTGAACAAGCACATTTAGAATTATCAACATTTCAGTTTTTACAGCGACAAGAAGAAGCTTCTATACCTAAACGTTTACAAGTATGTACATTTACAAAATTTCATAAATAATATAAATTTATATATTTATTGTTTTAGTTACTTTAAAATATTAAATAATGCTTCCAAAATTTTTATTTAGCTTGTTAAAAATAACTAATTATAACTTCTTATGATTATAATTTAGTCATTAACTGATGATGTAGACCGCCAAAAAGAACGAGAAAAAATTCTGCAGCAAAAATACTTGGACCTTGAAACAAGATGGAAAGAATTGCAAATAGGAAATGATGAAAATGATAAGTAGTTATAACTTATAATTTTAATAGTTTTTTTTTTCACAGACTTGTATTACATACTTCTTTTAAAAATTATTTGTAGCATTATTTTTAAAGTGTATTAATATGTATTTCATGTTACAATAGGGAACATATTGAAAACAATTTTCTTAAATTATATTGTTATAATTGATAATATAACTTATAATTTTAATAGTTTTTTTTTTTACAGACTTGTATTGCATACTTCTTTAAAAATTATTTGTAGCATTATTTTTAAAGTGTATTAATATGTATTTCATGTCACAATAGGGAGCATATTGAAAACAATTATCTTAAATTATATAGTTGAATAATTGATAAAATAATTCAAAATATAACAAGACTAATTTTTCACATCATTTCGTGTTCATTTATTTCAATGGGTTCTGTTTATGAACTGATGAATTTTTTAATTACTCGTGGTAATTTTAAATTAATTAAGTTGTTTTTCAAAACACTTTCAAAGTGTTGAAAGTTCACATTTTTTTGGTATAATTCATATGTAAAAATTGAACAACTTTCATATACTAATAGCAACAGAATGTTTGATGAAATAAAATCATTATCATGTAAATACTTAGTATGCATAATCCATATTACAGGGGTTTTGTCTCCTCAAATATTTAGGCTATTTGCACCCAAAAATAGGCGTAAAAAAAAACTAAAAATTTCATGTATTTATAAATTATTAATATTGAATGTTTTAACTAATTGCTCATTTTTACCAAGTGGTAATATAAAAAAATATAATACTGAATTTTAGATTCTAAGCGGAGCAAGGAATGTGTTGGTTTGTCTTAATAACTTTTCCACCAGAGATCTTGTTTCAATCAAAAATTAAAAAAAATCTTTTTAATTGACTTTTGTATTTAGTTTGTACCAGGTGATTCATTTAAGTGGCTACACTTATTATCTTGGAAAGTATTAACTTTTTCCGGTATTTTTGTTTTAGAAAATTTAAGAAACAAGCTGCCCCATAACTTTATATATGTGTTATTTTTAGTCACCATTATTTTAGGGGGAAAAAAACAACTACTTTTGATTTTCAAATGACAACCTATATTAAAAAGTCCATAAATAGATTGAGTATTAGTTAAAATAAATTTTAGTGTTGAAATTTTTTATTTCTGTTGATTCGTTTATGAGATATTCCACTTTTAAGCATGGGTTGGAGAAGAGAAGTAGAGTATCATTAGTAGAGTTAAGATGTAATGACTTGCATTTTTATTATTTTAATTCTATACAATGCTATCTTGGCTAAAAATTTGTTTCGTATTCCCTTGATTCAGAATATTCTTATTTTATTTCGCATTTTTTTGCATTTCTCAATATTTTTAAGTCATTTTTTCATATTTTAGGTCATTTTTTATAGTTTGTACAATGTGGGGGTATTTTTCTCAAATTTTAGATTTTAAAGAAAATTTATATAATATTCTAAAAAATAATTTTAATATTATTATTGTGGGGTTTTTGTTGTGTTTAAATTTATCGCGTACCAATAAGATATACTGTTTGAGTGTTATACTTTGATAAAACAAGTACATTCATAATTCTGGAATTAGACAAAAATGATTCAGTCTCAATTAAAGGTGCAATAGAGCAAGTGTTAAACCCAAGTTTGGAAACAAATTTAATTTTTGTAAAATCTAATTTTGGGTTTATACCTTCGGAAATAACACATTGGAGACGTCTGGTATGTTATTATCAGAGTCAATTAAACGCACACAAAAAATTGAGTCTTTAATCCAAAAAGCCCAAAATAAAATCGGACAAACAATATCAACCAAAATGGAGAATGTCATTTTGAAGAATAATGGATTTAAAATTGTAACTAACAGCTCTGAAATGCTAGATGGCAATGACACAAGAACAGAAGATTTAACTATTGATGACATGATTTACTTCAAGTATGCACCCATAACGTCTGTTGATGTCTTTTGTTTGAAAACATCAGACACATTTTAATTGTACAGTGCAATAGTGCAATGAGAATATTTTCAATATAATTTTTTTTATAAATATTTTACTTATTAGTTAATTTTTAATAATTTTATATAATGTTTAAAATGTAAATGTATACTATTGTTTATTAATATTATAATTCACTCTGACACCCATTATCATACTCATATCTCTAATAAAAATTATTATTTATAAATACATTTTTTTCACTTATTTAATTTGATTTTTTAGGCCTTTTTGAAGTTTTTAGTGCATTTTTGTGTGTTTTTTTAGGTCATCAATATCCTAACTCTAATCATTAGTGTGGGGGTACGGCGTGTGGCGTGGTAATAATGCACCACTACTTTCCTCCAACCTAAAATTAAAAGTGTTATATTTCGTCAACGGCTTGATAGAAATCAAAAATTTCAACACTAAAATTTATTTTAACTAATACTCAATCTATTTATGAACTTCTTAATATATGTTGCCATTTAAAAATAAAAAGTAAGTAGTTATTTTACACCCGAGAATAAAGGGGACAAATATAACATAAATATATAATTGTGGAGTAGCTTGTTTCTTGTGTTCTAGTAAACAAATTCTGGAAAAAGTTAATAATTTCCGAGAGTGTACTGCATAAATAATCCACATACATAAATCACCTGTTATATTGGGAGGTCATTTTTTGTTTCTAAGCTGGTTTTCATAATAATTCATAAAAACAACAAAGTTTTAATATTTAAAATTTTCAAAAAATTCAGCGATATAAAAAAAAAAATATTTGATAATTAATTTATGGAAAAAATTGTTTAAAAAAATTAAAAAAATATAAATACTTGAAATTTGAATATGAAGTTAAATAAGAGATGATCAAACTTTTTGAAGTAAGGTAGAAGAATCGATTCTGTTCAACAAGATATTGAGAAAGAACTTTGCATTTAGGATGCGTCTAGTATTAGACTTACGGATAGAATGTATAGATTTAAAATTTCGGTCGTCAAATTGACTCTAGTAATACACATTGTGTATCCTTGAATTGTAACGAGATTGCGGTAAGTATAACTTTTAAAAACCAATTCCTTATCAAATAACCTAACCGAACCTAACCTAACCTATCTTCTATCTATGACACGTATGCCTATCGATTTATGCTTCAGTAACAGTATTAACACCACTAATCAATGTTTTATAGTCGCAGTTGTCGAATTTATTTTTATTAAGGCAAAACAACTATTAAAACTTAATAAAAGTGTTAATTATAGGGATTTTGACCGTAATAAACCTACATATGGACTGTAGAAATCATATTACGGTTCTACATCTACATCTGCAATGTTTTTGAGATAAAGTAGATCAGCGCGTTAAATCAACCTGCAGCACTACACAAACGACCCAGAACGACGAGAAAACGAGTTCTGGTCAGAATCTCTCAGCTAGCGTTACAGGGATTGTTTTATTATTCGTTTTTTGTAGGTGTTTCAACTAATTTTCGAGATACCCAGTAAAAAAAGGCTGTTGATGAGTGAACCACTGTTATAAGTGAAAAGTTGAGAAGGTAGGTACATAAAGTTTTTTAATATATATCTGTAAGCAAATATTTCAGCATATTGTTTGGTATTACAACTTTTAAAATTTAATTTTACAATTATATGGTTATGATAAAGCTAACTAAAGCTAATCATAAGAGTTATACCTACTACATTTATGTTTTTTTTTAAATAATAATGGTAATGAGTAATGATAGCATTGGTAATAGTTATAACATATATTTATTTTATTATTATGTTGATCTTTATCTACTGATAAGGACTCTGGTATCTGTTACGAGGATGTCCTGCGGGAATCGAAGCAGACGTAGACCTATGTTGAAAGTTTTACTTTCTAGTTTTTAGTTATATTGTGGTGGCCTTCAATTATTTCAGTTTGTCGTGGAAGTTATTAAATTGGGTTTTAGTTCAGATGTTTGTGAAGGGTATATGGCGATTCCTCATATACCATGGGCTATAAGGCATATTCTTAGAATTTATTTTGTAAAATTTGAATTTTTATTTATTTTAAAACATAAGCTGATGCCCAAATAGGCAGGCATAAATTATCAGTGGTCTGATTATTATTAAAGTGTATAGAAATAGAGATGATTTGATTTGAAGTGTAGATTACACGTTATTAAGTGTTGATTATGGTGATTCTTAGTTATTGATACATTTTTTTTTAGTTTTTCAATGGGAACCCCGCCATTTTGTTCGTTAGTCTGAAAAAATAATTTGGGTAGTATTTGGTTTTGATAATTTACCCCTTCATGTGCCGTAAGGGGGTTGAAAAATGACCAAATTGCGTAGTTATATGGTTTTTTGAGTTTAAATAAAAAACTATTACAGTTATCGTAAAATTGTTCATTAACTTTTTCATATTTTTCGATAAAATCATTGTTATCCAAGAAAAAAAAAACAATTTATTTCGTTTATTTGGAAAATTTGTTTTTTTACGGTTATTAAGTATATTTGATAAACGATTGGAAATCATGTAGAAAGTTATTAATACATTTTATACAAAATTGAATTGCCTACAAAATAAGCTATGAGAAAAAATTGCATACGATTAACATTTCGTACTTATTCTGAAAAAAATAGAAATAATCATGATTGTTTATAGGCAATTAAAAGATTTATCAAAAAGTTAATGAACAGTTTTACGATAAATGAATATTTTTTTACTTAAACTCAAAAAACTATAAAACTATGCAATTTGTTCATCTATAATAGAAAACAAAATGGTAGGGCAGCCCATTGAAATTTTCAAAAGTCAAAAATAATAATCACCCTAGTGTAGGTTCAAAATTGAATAAAGGGTAGAGAATTCTCATCCTGACATTTCCTTGTGTAAGTTTTTTGTTTATGTGGATATTCTATGTTGATTCTTCGTCAAGAAAAACAAGATATTTGATAGTCGTGTTTTCTATTACATTTTATGATCTGGTTCTACATGTAAATGTTTATCAAAAGCCTGCGTTAGATCGAGGAATGTTGCTATCATGTATTGTTTA